CAGGCTCGACTATGCAAACTCGCTGCTTGTCGGCCTTCCCAACTCTTCCCCCCCACAGGCTGCGGATAATCCAGAACTAACTCGGCAGCCCGTGTCCTCTCCCGCACCAAACTCCGTGACCCCATCTCCCCTACTCTCGCCCGACTCCATTGGAGAGTGGGTGTGAGAGTGCGAGAGAGTGAGCGCGCGCACGAGGGAGGGCGCTGTGCGACAGGGAGGGGGTGAGAGATGTACACACTTCATGGTGGGTTCTGGAGTGAGGTACTCACACGTAAGGTTAAGCCAACGATAACAACAGCAGCAGCTTGGGTGTACATAACGCCACTCCTGCAGAGCATTTGACCGACATGAGCATGATCACAAACTAAAATATGAGTAAATTCGAGAAGCCAGTTATTGTAAGGCTGGACACAAGCAGTAAGTTCGAGTCTCTGTGGCTATCTGAATGGTGCGATTGCCAGTAAATTGGGTATTAAACAACTTAATAGAGATTCCTGAAGATCTAAGTGAACAACAATGGCCCAATGCACACGCACTCCCTTTTTTTCTTAAAACCGCTATATTTGAACAAAACCAAATAGCTTAAAAAAGACGATCTGTTCTGCAAAGCGCTTTCAGACGTCTCAATGATGCAGGCATTATTATAATTATTTCTGAAAGCATATTGTACTCCCCATCTGCCATTTTGAAAATTGGTGGCTGCCATTTTGAAATCAAGCCCCTCTCTCTCCCCCCACCACCCCCCGCCCACCCAAAAGGACAAGCTGACGATTTCTTAATTGACGTAAAGTGATGAAAGTGCACTGTTTGAAATGTCTGCGTTCACAGTCCAGGCTAATACACCAGCGCAGTACTGGGGGTTGGGGGAGCATTGCATTGCTGACATTGCTGCCATCAGTTGAGAGGGTATTTGGAGTTCAGACACAAATCAGCCGTGATCTCATAGAATGGCGGAACAGGCTCGCGGGGGCTTGAATGGCCTCCTCTTGTCCTTTGGTAAACCACAAAGTCCCGTGAAGCGATTGGAAAAGGATAGGGCATTTTCTTGTCCTGGCCAAAGAGCCCCGGGATTACCTGGGGTTCGCACCGTGGCTGTTTTGTGAGACTTTTGTTTTACCCAAAAACGGTCACTGTGTTTGCGTTTGCCTCCAAATACTGTCACTACACTTGATAGTAGTTACGCGTGAAGGGCTTTGATCTGCCTGGTTTGAAAGCCGGTTCTTAAGAACAGCAGAAAAGAGCTTCCAAATAAAGACAGATCGGTAATATAATAATTCTTATTATTTGGTCAATGACAAATTGCATTTACAAACGGCGCCTTTCACCATGGGAGGACGTCAAGAGGCGCTTGATGGTTGGGTATAGAGCCTTTCGTGGCCGGAGACGGTGCAAAGCGCTTCACGGGAAATGCTGCAAAGTGTAGTGACTGCGTTGTGGGTGACATGTTTAAAAAAAAACGCATTCTGCAATTCAGCAGGATCTCAAATTTGTGAGTCAAAAAAGTGCAATGGGCTAAAACTGCATGGAATTTCAGGCTGTGGGCGTATGGGAACAGTTTTGAACCTGGTGTGTGTAAAGTTCGGGTTGTGTGTGTGGTTGTCGAGTCAGCTTTGCCAGGTCCTTTGTACCAGCAGTAAAGGCACAGGGTGTTGATCAATTTTGATGTGGCTTTTGTGTTCACCTGAATTGGAGCTCTGAGACGCTGTCCTGCGTGAGGGACGCTATGTAAATACAAGTTGTTGTTGGGAGTTTTCGGGCACCTTCTGCCACCGCAATACAACAATAATAATCCTCGCATTTGATAACAGCGCCTTATCACCTCTTCGAGACGTCTCAAAAGCGCTTCACACAATATACTGTCAAGTGAATCGACTATAATTTTTGTGGGCGAAACGCGGCAGCCAATTGCGCACAGCGGTAGACGAGACCGAGGGTGATTCATTCCCCTCGGAGCAGCACTCCTCTCTGTTTTACAGCTGGTGACATTTCCATAAATTTATGCAATGAATACATATGATTCTTATAACGCCTGGCGTGTGAAAAGATCGATCCAGGCCCAGTTGACCGACTAGCCTCTTCTCGGAAAGGCTGAAAGGTGTAGAGGTGTAAATGAGGTGGCTGACAATAGCTTGACCAGTGTCATCTCTGGGCACGAGGCGAACAAATCTGGGCAAAAGCCCACCAAAGTCCGCAACTAAAGCCCGGGCAGAGAAACCCCATCCCCTCCACATTGTGTGTGGGAGGTTAGAAGGTTGAGGGGTGATCTGATTGAGGCGTTTAAAAATAATCAAAGGATCGATCGACTAGCGACAGCGAAACTATCTTCCTTTGGTGGGGGAATCCAGAGCTGGGCCATGTAGGAGTAAAATCAGGAAAGGGGAGTGGAAATCTAACTCACTCCCTTCCCCAAAAGGCGGTGGATTGTGGCTGGATCCATTCAAGTTTTCAAGACCGAGGTGCAGAGATGTTTGTCAGGTCAGGGGATCAAGGGATTTGGGGCAAAGACGGGTAATTGGACTCGAAGTACAGATCCGGATGCCGGAACAGACTCGAGGGGCTGTTCCTACGAGCGAGGCCATTCACTTCGACTTCCACCTTTAAAGCCCCGTGGGTTTGCTCATCTCTCCTCTGCGCCGGGTTGAATAAGTGAAGGCCGGGACGGTCGGTGTGTTTAACTCGCCGTGCTGTTGGGAGTTGCCGAATGACCTTGTACTCGCCTCGTCTGTGCTGTGTGTGTGTGTGTGTGTGTATCTTACTGATAACGAGAGGACAGTGAGCTCAGTGTTGCTGCAGTGTCTCGCTGGAAACAGCACATGGGAGGCCCATCTCCCCTTCACGTCCATCTCGCTCTCTCTCGCTCTCTCTCTCTTCCCCGAAGGCGAAGTTTTTAACCCCTGGAGGATTGTTCCAAAGGTGCTGTCACCCTCTCTCCAGTCATCTGTGCTTTTGACTCTTTTAGTGTAAGATGCTGTTTAATGGGGTGGGGGGAAGAGAGAGAGAGAGGGTGTCCACAGATTAACTCAGTCCTGTCCACACCCACAGTCCTAATGCACCAAGTTTCCAGTGATTTGGGGATTGGTGGGGTCTTGATCGTGATCAGCTGAAGTTGCGGCTGTCCTTTTTCTTTCTATCTCTCCCTCTGTCTCCTCTCTCTCTCTCTCTCTGCTCTGTCTCTCTCTCTTGCTCCTCTGTGTGTGTCTTTCTCTTGGTCTCTCTCTCTCTATCTGTGTGTGTGTGTGTCTCTCTCTCTCTCTCTCTCTCTCTCTGTCTCACTCTCTTTTTCCCATCTCGTGTCACCCAGTACCTGTACGTACATCTATCATGAGCCTCCCAGAAGCACAACTCCGTGTGTAACTGTGCAGCGTTCGAAGATTTGGTTGCTTTGCGGCGAGCATGGCAGCAACAGAGCAGATCTGTTGAGAACCACATGCTCCTGGGTGTGGCTCGGGCCTGATTGTAATGTACCTTATCTCACTTAGGCCTGTAAGCAATTCGTCTCCCAATTCTTCATGGTATCACTGATGGGATAGGGCTCTGAGCTTGGGCTGTGCCTCTCAACTTATCGCTTTGCATCAGTGTTGGTGCTGTGGTACATTTCACCCAGTAACCAGCTCAGCGCCTTGGGACGTCCTCCCAACACAAAAGGCGCTGTACACATGTAATTGTTGTTGTTGGTCTCTGGCACTTGGGAGTCCTGTATCTTATTGGTTAGGGCACTCGTCTTGCAAGCGAGAGGACCTGGGTTCGATTCCCGGACAGGGCGAAACCTTAGGCAAGTCTCCTTACTCCACACGCAGTAAGAAGGAACCCGGTTGTTCTGTCAATTGGCTGATCGCTTTCCGGGGGTAATAATCACTGCCATCCCCCCCCTCCCCACCCACCGAAAAAGATTGGTCAATCAATCCAATTGGTCAAGTACCTCCGCTCAGCCGGCTCCAGCCTGCTCATGTCCCTCGCCCGGCCCGTCCATCACCATCGGCAGTCGGGCCTTCAGCCTCTCTGCCCCCACCCTCTGGAACTCTATCCCACATTCTCTTCGTCTCGCACCCTCCCTCGCCTCCTTCAAGCACGTTTCAAGACCTTTCTCTTCGGCCACCCTCCTACTCTTTCTGCCCTCCATCCTCCCTGATCCCAACCCCCGTCCACCCCGCTCGGGTCCTTGACTGTTCAGCGCCTTGGGACGTTCTCCCGACATGAAAGGCGCTTTACAACTGTAAGAATAATAATAGTCCTTGCATTTGATATAGCGCATTATCACATCATTGAGGTGTCTCAAAGTGCTTCAGAAAATATACTGTAAAGTGAAACGCGGCAGTCAATAGAATGGGTTTGATGGTCCAAATGGCCTTTTCTAGTTCTTTGCTTCCTTGAGTTCTTACAATATTGCACACGTCAGGTCCCAAACTATATATTGTATCCTGAGGTATTATTTCCTAAGAGAAAACAATCGCATTTGTACTTGAAAGAATCAACACTTTCTGCTATCCTCTGGAGCATTTTGAGACGCCTCGAAGAAGTGACCAGGCGCTGTATCAAACGCAAGGATTATTATTATTACAATGCAAAAAGCGAAAATAAATTGTTCGCCACCTTAAACTTTAATATGACTTGTGGAGTTATAGTGAACTTGGAACTCTTATCCGTGCCAGCTCTTATCGGGCCAGTAATGCAGTCAAGGATTGCAATGGAGATTTATCAGTTTAACTCCTATCTTTATGCACATGTGCACCTTCCCACTCAGTAAAGTATTATGGGCACTTGCTGCGTGAGTACTTGAGGCAAGCCTTTGTGCCCCGTTTGTTCTGTACAAGTTAAGCACAACTAAGTAAGACTTTAATCCAGTTATTTTGCACCAGTCCCCTCCCAGGCTGCTTTTGAACTTCTTTCTCCGAAACAAAGCCAGCTTCGAAGTGCCCTTGTTTTGTCTTGCAAATTCCTAGGTCCTAATGGAACGTGTGTGTGTTTGTTTTTCCTCTCTCCCCCCCCCCCCCCCCACCCAGGTAACTTCCAAGGGGGCTGGCCTGAACCCGAACGCTAAGGTATGGCAGGAGATTCCTCCCCAGAGCGCCGAGGCCACTCCAGCGGCCATCAGCACTGAGAGCACGTGGCAAGAGAGCGTGACGCCAACCCCCATCCCCTACGCTGAAGGTGAGAAGCGCGGCGGGTGGGGTGGGGAGTGGGTGGGGGTTTGATGATAGTGGCATCTCTGTGCCGGCAGCCAGTGTCTGCCCCACAACCTCGGTGTGCGGGGAGGGAAGGGGGTTCTTTCAGCCACTGCGCCCCGAAGCTCTGGAACTGCCTCCCTCAATCCTCCGCCTTGCTCCCTCCCTCCCCACTTTCAAATCCCACCTGAAGAGCTTTTTGGATGGTGCTTACGATCACCTCTCCCCTTGGCTCGGGGTCAGACTCCACCACTGTCAAGCGCTTCAGGACGCTACCCCGCGTGAAGTACGAAGAAGTTGTTGTTGTTGTCGATGTTGTCGAGCCTGTCGGGCAAGGTCACCGAGCAAGGAGAGAGGTGCTTCACTGGGTGGGGGTTGGGGCGGGCGAGCCAGAGTGAGCGTGGGAGTGTAATGACTGATAAAGCGTATGTATGTAAGGTGAGGAGGTATTCTCTGAGGGGAGGGGAGAGATGTGCCCGCGTGGGAGAAAATGTACTCTGTGGCTGTGTAGATGCAAACATGTCGTTGAGGCCTCTCAAAGCACTTCACAGGATATATTGTAAAGTCTAGTGACTGTATGTTGTGAGCGAAACGTGCTGATTGATGTGTGATTCCCCACCCCCATCCCCCACCCCCCCGCAGCGTACATTGAGCCCGGAGGGGACGGCAGTAAGCAGTACAGCGTGATGTACACCCCACCCCCCGAGACCACCGGCAGCAGCACCGCAGAGCCCACAGCCATCAACGGCCTCGACCTGCCCCCTGTGGAGCTCGCTTACCCTCTGTATGAGCACTCGCCAGCCACAGGTCAGCCACCCCTCCCTCTCTCGCCGCCCCCTTGCGCTCCCATCTCATTCCCTCTCTTTTTCTTGCAGCCACTGTGTTGATGTTCCTTTGGTATAGGAACCGGAGTAGGCCATTCAGCCCCTCGAGCCTGTTCCACCATTCTATTAGATCATGGCTGAACTGAACCTTGACTCCAATTTTCCGCCCTTTCCCTCTTATCCCTTGATCCCCTGACCTAACAAACATCTATCCCACTCGGTCTTGAAAATGTGAATGGATCCAGCCATAATCCACAGCCTTTTGGGGGAGAGGGAGAGAGTTCCAAATTTCCAGTAACCTTCACGTGAAAACAAATGCTTCCAGATTTCACTCCTAAATAGCCTAGCTCTCATTTTAAGATGGTGCCCCCTTGGCCATTCTGTGAGCGGAGTCCTGCTCTGCTAAAGAACTTGGCTTCAAAGGACGGCCACACTTTCCAGCTATTGGCTTCTGGACAGCCAAATGGCTGCTGGATTCCTGGCTGGTGTGTTTTTTTCCCCCTCTGTGTTTTCCTGGCTGGCCCAGGTTGAACAGAATTCCAATGCCCAATTCAGTTGACTCACTGAGATCAGTTAAGTCAGCGCAGACGATGGAATCCACCTTTCAGTTGGTCTGTGTACCTTAACCCCACCACCACCATCCCGGACGGCTTGATGATATTTCGTGGGCGAGATGTGGCAGACAATTTCTGTCCCACAAACGGTCGTGAATTGAGTGCCCAAACTATTATTTAAAACAAAAAAAATTCTACGGGATTATTACCCCCGGAAGGCTATTCATCAATCGACTTAACAACCGGGCTCCTACTTACTACTGGGTAACCAGAGGTGTGTGTGTGTGTAGTAAGGAAACTTGCCTAAGGTTTCGCCCTGACCCGCCCGGGAATCAAATCCAGGTTCTCTCGCTCGCTTGCGAGGCGAGCGCTCTTAACCAATATGCCAACAGGACTCAACTTGATATTACTGTGCGTCTGTGCCTCTAACCTGTACGAATCTAAACCAGTTTGTTCCCATATGATATTTCAGCATTTTTCTCTTGCTCTTCTCCCTCCTGCCCCAACAACGCGTTGTGTAGGCGATGGCAGCCAATCAGAGGAACAACCGACAACCACAGAGGACCTGAGAGATTCCTTAAAGAAACAGCTGGAATTCTGTTTCTCTAGGTAAGATCACTCTCTCTCTCGGTCTTCCCATCTCCCTTGCTCTCGGATGCTACCCCTGAGGGGACGCTATATGAATGCAAGTTGTTATTGCTATCCATTTAATTCTATACACTTGTACGTATGTTTATTAATGTTAATCCTTGCATTTGATGCAGCACCTTATCCCATCGTCAAGACGTCCCTTTTGGGGTCGGAGGGGGGGACGCCTCGAAGCGCTTCACAGGACTGACTGGGACCAGAGCTGGGAGTGAGGGTGGTTGGAAGGGCTGAGGAAAGTGGCTCAGGCCTTGTGTTGAGTTGAGTTGTGTTGAGGAGGGAGCAATCTTGAGCTATTCAGGTTTAATCTATTCCTCATTCCCTCTGGCTTTCCTTTCCTGTTGTAGCTGCAGCCAATTTCCACCTTTTTTTTTCTTAGAATTTGATCCTTCCTGTGTGCGTTGTGGCCAAGTGATGACATTTATGTTTCGATGGGATTTTTTTCTCTCTTTCCGCACACTCGGCCAATCTGGGGGAGTGGGGGGTGGGGGGGGGTCCTTAAATAAACGGGCACTGACCCTGGTTAACTAACGGCAGTCAGCCCCATTGACAGCAATCAGAGGTGAAGAGTAGCTCGTGCTAAAGCAGACGCCGCTCGCTCACACTTGTCAGGGTGTAAGGCATTTTACGACACGGGGGTGGGGGTGGGGGGCAATAAACGCAGTGAAGATTTGGACACTAGGGGTCCTCAGAGAGCCGTGTAGAGAGTGCCCCCTCCCGTGGCAGGAACCAGTACTGTATGATTCCAGTCTGGACCATTGGTCTTTTGGATTGGGCGCTTGAGTGGGAGTTGGGGTGTGAGCAGGGCATTATTGTGCACAAATTGGCAGCTGCATTTGCCTACAAACAAGGACCCTTGCTGCCCGTTAGCTTTGAGAAACTTCCAGCACTGAAAATAGGCCATTTTGACCCAGTGTGTCCGTGCTGGCTCTTTAAAAGACCCATCCATCCATCCGTCCATCCATCCAGGCCACTTTGCCTTGTTCCCATATCCTACAGATTATTCCTCTTCAGATGCCCACTAATAATAAGCCTCATTTGATATAGCGCCTTATTGCGTCGTTCAGACTTCTCAAAGCACTGCTCAGAACATACTGTGAGTAGAGTGACTGTGTACTTTGAGGGCAGCCCAGTTGTGTACAGCTGTGTCTCTCCCACAAAGAATCGTGGATTGAGTGACTAATTCTGAAAGTTGAGCTGATGTGAATTATGCTTCGGCCACTGTACCCAGGAGGACATTCCACAGCCTAAAAAACACCTAATCTCCTGAGGAAAGCATTGTTGTCGGTGCTCTATGTGGAGCGAGGATTCTTATTTTCTACGTTGCTTTCTGTAGGGAGAATCTGTCCAAGGATTTGTATCTGGTGTCTCAGATGGACAGCGACCATTTTGTCCCAATATGGACCATAGCCAACATCGAGGGCATAAAGAAGTTGACGGCTGATATCGAACTCATTCTGGATGTCCTGCGATGTAAGGGAGACTTATGATTCTGATTGGTATTGAGATCCTTCATGTGCTGGGCTTAGATTTACCGAGAGATTTATTTACGGCAGGTCACTTGGCCCAATCAGTGCAATGCAATACAGAATTACATTAACCTTTCAAGTCGGAAGGACATCCCAAGGCGCTGAAGAGTCAGGGATTTGGACCCAAGAGGTGGTGGGGGGGGATGGGGGGTGGTCGAAGGTACGATCGAAGAATAGGGTACAGATTGGGATTTGAATCTGCAACCTGGGCTGGTATGTCTCTGCACTATTCCCTTGTCAAACTAGGGCACAGTCAATAAGCTGAGGGAACAAACAAATGTTTGTGCTTGTCAACATGCCCACCTGTGATTCCATCTGATCAGCTGAGCTGAATTTCCGGCCTCGGAATGGAACAATGTGGACAAAACGCTCCAATGCCCATCGAATCTGATGCGAGCATGTGTCCTGCTCTGTTCCTGGTGGGAATTTTACAGCTTTTCCCACAAAGGAGAAAAATTGAGCTTTTTCTGATTGGAGCCGTACGGAGAAAAAGCGCCTACGATGTCGTCCGTGTGTGTGTTTTTTTTCTTCTAACATGTTCTTTTCCGCCACCCTCTTTCCCCCCGCCCCCCCCCCCCCCCCGCCGCCCAGCATCTCCAATGGTGCAAGTGGATGACAAAGGGGAGAAGGTGAGGCCGAACCACAAACGATGTATAATAATCCTGCGAGAGATCCCGGAAACTACCCCTGTTGAGGTAAGGGCCGGTGGTGTGGGTGGGCAAACAGTCCAGGGAATGTTTGTGAAGAATTTGCGCTAGAAATTTTGGCGCAGGGACGGCACAGACCTGGAAAATCACACTGTGTTTTCATCACTGTCGTTTATGTAGCCCCACACACCAGCGTAAACTCTGCCCTCGTGTTTGCCCGCAAACGTTCAATGCTAAAGTCACTCTATGAAGTGCAAAAGATTGTTGTGATGCCACACGTGTCCGGCTGGCTGGTGGCGCTGAGCACCAGGTCAGGGCTAGAGTTATAGAATCTTACAGCACAGAAGGAGGCCATTCGGCCCATCGTTTGCCTGTGCCAGCTCTTTGGAAGAGCTACCCAATCAGTCCCTCTCCACCCGCTCTTACCCCATAGCGCTGCACAGACAGTCCTGTGCCATAGGATATAAATGGTCGTTCAATCCACGACTGTTTGCGGGGCGCTGCTGTGCGTAATTGGCTGCCACATTTCACTCGCAAAATACACAGCCATGACACCTTATAGTGAAGCGCTTTGAGGCGTCTCAGCGATGTGATAAAGCGCGATATCAAATGCAAGGATTATTATTACGAAGCGACAGAGCTGTGCCCAGTGATGATCAGTAATTGCGCTTAGAGGGGCTCGGGCTCTGGTTGGGGTCTTCAAACCCATTCCCTTCCTCGTTCCTCTTTCTGTCTTGAGTCCGTCTCTCCTTAATCTCCTCTCTCTCTCCCCTTCCCATTTCCCCCGTGATCAGGAAGCCTGCCCCAGTGAGCACTAAGATTATGAGATCTGAGGGCAGCAAACACCATCGCTTGTAGCCTTGCTTTTCTGGGAATAATAGTCCCTTTTAAAAAAAAAAGAAAAAAAAAATCCACAAATGCTGTGGACAAATTGACAAATATACGGGCTCGAGGGGTTGAATAGTCTACTCCTGTTTCTGTGAAGCGCTTTGAGACGTCTCAATGACATGATAAGTTTAGTTTCTCTTGGCTGCCCGTAAATCTGTGAGAGAAGAGGAGTGAGACGGCGCGAATTGAGATGTGTTGCATTGCAGAAACTGGTGGAGCAGGCTGGGCAAGCTGGAAGCCTTCTGCTCCTCTGGTCCTTGGGGAAATTGCGGTTTGCATGTAACGTGGGGAGGCAGCAGAGCGCAGCCTGTGCCCGAGGGTTGCGTCTCATTTGGCATCGTACCTCACACCGTCCGTCGCCTGTTTGGTTTTGCAGGACGTCCAGGCACTTTTCAAGAGTGAGAATTGCCCGAAGGTGATCAGTTGTGAATTTGCCCACAACAACAACTGGTACATCACATTCCAGTCTGACAGCGATGCACAGCAGGTAAGTCTCTCCATCTGTGTGTGGCTGTAGGTGGGTCTCTCTCTCTCTCTCTCTTCTTTGCCTTTATTTGCCTCTGTTGCTGTGGCTCACTCAGTCGCGCCCTCACCTCTTGGATCAGAAGATTACGGATTCAAATCTGGCCTTTGAGCTCAGTCAAAGCTCAGAAAAGTAAAGGGTTTCTCCTCTCTTTCTTTCTCCTGCTTCCCCCCCGTCCCCACACACACACACACACACGCGTGCGCGCACTTCTTCATGGCCCTGGACAACAATTACTAGATAAATCGATCATTCACTCCGCAGCTGTTTGCGGGACGTTGGAAAGTGTAAATTGGCTGCCGCGTTTGTCCAGAAAAGTTCAACCAACGTTAGTTATGAATTGCAAAGAGCGTTGCAATGCCACCAGTGTCCAGGTGGCGGCGCTGGGTTTTCCAGCTGCTCCATGGCGCCTCCTACAGGCACAGCCCTGGAATGGCTTCTTCGGGGCGTCTCGGAGCGCTTCACAGGATACACTGTCAAGCGAGTTGACGCTCGTGCGTTGGCAAAACACGTGGGCAGCAAACGCAAGTTGTATCAAATGATATAAAAAATTATATCAAACACTAGGATTATTATGTTCTTATTCCTACATTTTATTCCTGGTACAATATCCACGTCGATGTCCGTCTCTACTATTCCAGCTGGTTGCTTGTTCAGACCTTTAGGCTTTGAGAGAAGATTTTTTACGTCCAAAAGCGGCACAGGGGATGTACTATACTTCGTTAATTTTAAGCGCTCAGAGATACCGCTCCACCAGAACAGCGCTGTGTACGTGAAGGTTGTCGTCGTTTGTAATTTTTTTTTATTAAAGTAAGATTCTCTCATGTGTTTTAAACAGGCTTTCAAATACTTAAGGGAAGAAGTGAAAACTTTTCAAGGGAAGCCAATATTGGTAAGTTGTCTGTATTTTGCGGGAGTTTGTAAGTATTGGAGAGTTGCCAAGTTGCTCACAGTCAGCGGCTGTCTCGACCTTGCTGTAATGAGCGCTCGCTACACAGCCAGAAGTGCCAATGAGACATTAACCCGCGGCCCGTGATAAGGCGCTATATCAAATTCAAGGATTATAATTATTGTTAATAGTAAATGGCTTTTCAGAGGGCGACACTGAAGGGATTGGCTACTCAGCCATTGTATATGTTGCGTAAAAATCGCTGGGAACACGCAGCAGGTCAGGCAGCACCTATGGAGAGAGGAAAATTAGTTCGCGTTTCAGGTCGATGACCTTTTGTCAGAACTTGTATATGTTGCCTTCAGCTCACTAATTGTTCCTTTATTTCCCCCGTTACAGGCCAGGATCAAAGCGAAGCCTATCGCCATCAACACGTTCTTCCCAAAGAATGGATATCGGGTGCTGGAGTCCAACCTGTACCCTCAGCAGACACAGACACAGCAGCAGTTTGCCTCCCCGCTATTCATGCAGCCCGTCTTCAACCCACAGCAGCAGTACCCTCTGTACAGCATCGTGCCCCAGGCCTGGCCTGCCACCCCTCCCTACTTTGAGACCCCCTTGGTAAGTTTCAGCGGGCTGCTTGTGGCAGGGCATGGGTCACGGCAGAAACAAAACACGCTCAAAGGTTTTCATAGAATCATAGAAAATTACAGTACAGAAGGAGGCCATTCGGCCCACTGTTTCACTCACAAAATATACAGTCAATTGACTTTACAGTGTATCCTGTGAAGAGCTTTAAAACGTCTCAACGACGCGATCAGGCGCTGAATCAAATATGAGTATTATTATTATAACGCGACAGAGCTGTGCCCAGTGATGATCAGTTATTGCGCTTAGAGGGGCTCGGGCTCTGGTTGGGGTCTTCACTCCCATTCCCTTCCTCGTTCCTCTTTTTGTCTCGAGTCCGTCTCTCCTTAATCTCCTCTCCCTCTCTCTTTCTCCCTCTCTTTCCCATTCCCCCCCCCCCCCCCCCCCCCCGATCAGGAAGCTTGCCCCAGTGAGCACTAAGATTATGAGATCTGAGGGCAGCAGACACCATCGCTTGTGACCTGGCGCCCACTCAAGTTGATTGTAATTGTGATTTTTATTTCATTCTCTCTGTCTCTTTCTCCCACTTTTTCCAGGCACCATTTCCCAACAGTGGCTTTGTGAATGGCTTCTCCTCCCCGGGAACGTACAAACCCAACTCCTCGTCGCAGACTCTAATCCGCCCTTACTACAGAAACCGGTAAGGGCGCAGACCGTCTCTGTCTCCTTGTGGGTGTGTGTGTGTGTGTCTCGGTGTCTCTCTATCTGTATCTTCTGGGGGTGGGTGCAGAGAGAGAAATTGTTGTCTTGTTAAAACAAAAAAGCTGGATGCTGCACCCATTCAGATTTTCAAGACTGAGTGGGATAGATGTTTGTGAGGTCAGGGTATCAAAGGATACGGGGCAAAGGCAGGTAATTGGAGTTAAGGTACAGATCAGCCATGATCTAATAGGATGGCAGAACAGGCTCAAGGGGCTGAATGGCCTACTTACAGTCCAATAAATGTGATGCCTTAGATCTAGGATGTGGCTCGCAGTCCAAAGGGTTGAAGGGTCTGTCATTTGGTGAAACTTTTTGGGGGTCAAGTGACACTGCGCACAAAGACCTCTCTACCCTCGGGCTGGGGTGTGCCCCTCCCAGCTTCCCCCGGCCAGTGAGTAGCAGCAACAGCAAATTAAATTAGTGTAGTGCCTTCAGTGAGTTGTGACCTGTCGATCCCTCTCGCCTCCTGTTGCCCAGTGATGATCAGTACCGCGCTTGGAGGGTGAAGGGCACACGATGCTTGTCTGGGCTCTCTTTCCCCCTCTGTTTATTTTACTCTACCCTTCCATCATTGTTTTACCCTCTCTCTACCTTCCTTTTTTTTGACGTTTTCCCTTTCCCTCCCTCCCTCTCTCTCTCTCTCTCTCTCTCTCTCTCTCTCTCCCAGTCCTCTTTCTCTCCTTTACTACCATTCCCTACCCCCACCTCTCTCTCTCGTCTCTTCTTCCCCCAACCCACTTTCTTTCTGCCCAGGCTGGTGCTGTGTTGCGTCCTGCCCGGTGATCCATGAGATTCCGAGTCTGAGGGCTTGTCAGGAGCTGAGTCCTCCACCTCCTATCCCCTCCCCCTCCCCCCGCAAGCAAACACAGCGCTGAACCCAGCTGCAGTCAAATAGTAACTTTAACACGTCATTGTCGGAAAGCAATTGATTTGCTAAAGGTATTTGTTTTCTTCATTCCACACCACCCCCCCCCCCAACCGCTGAAACTCTTGACACACTAAGTGGAGGGGGCAGGAGGAAGTGCTGCATTAGCGGAGTACTTAGTACTACCCTTTGGACGAGAATCCCTGTTGGATAAGGAGAGGGAGTTTCTTCTGGTTTTCCTGGCCAACAATCCCGTCCCCAAGATAAAAAAAAATTAGTCACTCAATCCACGACTGTTTTTGCGTCACTGTTGCGCACAATTGGCTGCCGTTTCGCCCACAAAATATACAGTCAATTCACTTTACAGTACATTCTGTGAAGCGCTTTGAGACGTCTCGAAGACGTAGTCAGGCACTGTATCAAATGCAAGGATTATATGTGTGTGTGTATATATATGTGTATATATTCACATCATGTCTGCTTGAGATCTTGCTGTGCGCAAAAGGGCTGCTGAATTTGCCCACAAACTCTCAGTTGCTTCATCTGACGAGAGTTGCTGTACAGGGGTTTCAGAGTGATCACACAGTGTAAAGTGCAGTGTCCTTCCTCCCCAGGAAAGTGGCCTCTGGGATCGCTCCCATCTCCTGGGCAATAGAATCCAGATGCAACACAAAGCTCGTCTCAAAGCCTAATAGCAACGACCACTTGCATTTACACGGCGCCCTTCACGTAGGGCGGGGTCTAGGAGCGCTTAACTATGGCCTAGTCTGAGGCCGAGCCAGGGAGAGAGGGGAGGTGACCGTAGGTGCGGTCGAAGAGGAAAGTCTTCAGGTGCCATCTGAAGGCAGACGAGAGGAGGCGAGATAGGGGGATGGAGGCAGGGAGTTCCAGAGGGTAGCGGCTGATGGTGGAGCACCCAGTCAAAGAGATCAGCTAACTTGATGAGTGTGGGTCAAATCGAGTGCTGATCACTGAATCCAGTGACAGCTTCAATGCTGTAAGGGTTGGTACTGGGATTGGGTGAGGTGTGGTTGGGGTGGGGAGCAGGGGGATAGAGCTGAGTGAGGTACATTTTGAGCTCCGTAGCGCAGTAATTAAAGCGCTCACCTCGCAAGCGAAAGGACCCGGGTTCGATTCCCGGAAGGGTCAGAGCGAAACCGTAGGTGAGCTTCCTTACTCCACCCACCCTATCTCTGTTTGCCTAGCAGTAAGTAGGAACCCGGTTGTTAGTAGATTGGTGGATCGCTTTCCAGGAATAATAATCCCTCCAAAAAAAATAAAATAATGATTTGGTCACTCAATCCACGACTGTTTGTGTGACGCTGCTGTGCGCAATTGGCTACCGCGTTTCACCCACAAATTACGCACGTCAATTAACTTCACACTATATTCTGTGTAGCGCTTTGAAGCATCTCAACGACATGATCGACATGATCAGGCACTATATCAAATGCAAGGATTATTATTACAGGGGGAGGGGGGGGTCACCTGAGTGAAGTACATTGTCCGGGGAGGAGTGTGGGGTATGTGACCTGTGTGTTGGTGTTGAGCCACACACCAAAGCGTTGATGGCTGTAACACTAACAGTATTGCTAAACTACCTGCTTTCTTTTGTGACTGTTTTTCCAGCGTCCCGCTGTATTCCAGAAAGAATGTGATTAATTACAGGTACCCCCCCACTCCCCACTCCCCCCACAAACCCCCACCCTCTCCGCCCCGTGTGTGCACGCTGCTCGTGTGCTCTGCCGTTTAACGGGGCTGGTGGGAGCCAGACAACTAACTCCCATTTTGCAAAGCAAAGCTCTGATCAAACAGCGCATCCCAGAGTACCATTGCCAAACTCCCCGGAACCAATCATTTTGTTCGGAGCTCTCTCTCCTTACTCCCTCCCACGCCAGCCAACCACCCCACTCACCCCTCCACCCCCACCCCCATCAATCTGCTACCTCCCGAGACTTTGACGCTTGTTGTCTTTCGCTTCCAGCCCTGTTGACGTGCAGTTTGAAGGTTGCTCGGTTTGTGTGTGTGCGTGTGCGTGACGTAAAATCTGCATGCTGTCTGTCTGTCGCTCTCTGTGCGCCAGAGGCTGCCTGACGAGACTTCTCTGTGTTTCTGGTCGAGATTAAGCTTCGAGGGCTTTGTGCAAAGAGTTTTAGACACCTAATCTGTGAGATGGGCCTTTCTATCCTCTTTCTCTTTAACTCTTTCTCCCCCACCCCTTTGATGGAAGCCCTCAGCGTTAATCTTAGGGCCTCTACAGCAGGGGGGGCACTGCAGTTAGCCCCCCCTCGGTCTCCCTGCTCTGGAGAAGGGGCAGCCAAGGTTCCTGCTTATGAGCATGGAGTGGAGATCATTGACCTATGACTGTGGCGTCTTTGTCTGCCTCTTGCATGATATCTAGCTGTTTGAAGTGCGGTAGCCTGTCACCCAGGGGATCAAACCACAGTGGGGCGGCGGGTGGGGGTAGGGGGGGTGGGTAGAATGATTGGTTTCAATTACTGGGGGGGGGAGAGTGTGCCTGAAGGCACAGTCGAAGTGGAAGGTCTTGAGATGGGCCTTGAAGGTGGAGGGGGAGGCGGGGGGACTGTGGGATGGAGTTCCAGGGGTTGAGGGCAGAAAGTCTGCAGGCCGATCGCCAGTTGTGGGGTGGGCCGGGCGGGGGATCTGGAACAGGCCGGAGCCCGCTGAGTGGACAGGTCAGTATGGACAGCTCGGTCCGGGGGGGGGGGGGGGTGAACAGCGCGGAGGAAACGAGAGACACAGATGGAGTTTTGCTCGCAGAGCATGGCACTGTGGCTGTGTTATTTGCACGGGGTGGGGGGGGGTGGGGGCGGGTGAGGGTGGGTTGCACAGAGCATGGCATGGTTTGTATCACTTCCAGTCGCTGTGCCCGCTGCTGCGCCTTCTTAACTGTGCTGTCGGGAAACATCACTTGCCTGTGCCTATCACGCAGGAACAGGAGGAGGCCATTCAGCCCACCAGGCCAGCCCTGCTCCACCAGCGACTGACGGTTGCATTCAGTCCTTTCCCACTTGCCTTGCTCGCAGAGCTGGTCGTTGGGACGTGGGAACGGCGGATTAATTGTTTTTTAAGCCTCAAATGTTAACGGAGGAAAAATATCGAAGAGGGAGGGAGTTAAATGGATTCTTCTCGGTGTCTTGTTGCTGCTTAAGATTCTGTGACGGGCTAGTTAAATGTGTGACGTGCTCTTAGAACATTTTTTTTTAAAAAAGGGCTTGAATTTTATTCTCCATCCCAAACCGAGTTTAAAGGGAAGAACGAGAAGCCATTTTGTTGCGCAGCGGAGGTGGAATTCTCTTGCCTTTGCGAAGCAGCCTTGGGTGTGAACCTCGTAGAGGAAGCGGCCTTGGGGGCAGTCACTCGATCCTTTTACAGTAAAGCCCCCTGATGACTCAAACCCCTGCCTTAACTAGTCGCCGCCGCTGAAGTTGTCCCACTCTCGATGTGTCAGCCACGTTTAGTGATGCATTTGTTTATACGTAAGCCCAACTCATCCCTCCTGCTAACTAGTCACTGAGGAGTTAGGAGCAATGTTAAATGCTACTGGAAAAGAGGGGAGAGCGGAGCTGTAAAGCGTGCGGCTAAGCTAAGAACCCCCCCCCCCACACACACTCCCCCCAAAACTGAGCAGGAGTCTCCTCTACCTCACACGCAACGAAAATCCCTCTAAAGGCAGCTGCCAGTCAGAGCGATCAACTGACCTGTTTGTTATTCTTGTGCCTCGCGCTTATCCTCATGTGCGGGGGTCTCGTGACGTGGAGATGACAGGGAGGGGTTGGGGGCTTGGTTGACGGCCTGTAGAACTAACTGAAGGTGTCGTTCTTTCTCTCCTCTCCCCTCTCCCCTCCCCGCTCCCCTTCCACCGCCTGGGACAGGAGTCACAGTAAACTCCACCCGCGCTCAAACACGAACAACCCGTGTGCGGAGGCGGGCGGCAGCGCGGTGGGCCAGGGTCCCCCACTGGACCCCACGGGAACGAACGCCAGCCCGAGAAGCCCCCAGGCCCAGCGGCACACGGGCAGCTCCGCGACACACCAGGACCACGGCGCCGGCTACAGTCACAGGGACCCCCTGTCGCCTGTCACGGAGCTCAACGGAGACGGCAGCCTGTCCATGAGGGGCCGGTGAGTGTGGGTGGGCGGGCGGGTGGGTCAGTGGGGGGTGGAATCGGTCATTGTGATGGACGTGACGCAACCAAGGAAAGTTTAAGCCACTGTCTGGTTCCTGCTACCACTTCCCCTTCGTGGGTGAGGGGGGGGGAAGTTGTTTGTTTTCTGTTTTAATTTTCACTTTCTTTCCATTCCCCCCCCCCCCACACTCACTCTCCCTCTATGTCCTCTCTCTCCCCCTCTCCCTCCTCTCTCCCTTTTTTCTCTCACTCTCTCCTCTCTTCCCCCCCCACCCCACCCCATCCAATTTTCGCATTCTCGATGTCTGTTCCCTGAGCAGTGAGCTTCCGAGCTCCCCAACGCTCACACCACATCGCACACCCATCCCCTGACTAACAGTCACACACTCTTTTCTCCGGCTACGCGTGCGTGTCTGTGTGTGGAGGATGTGGCGTGGACATTGTGGTGTGGCGAGCACAAGCACGAACCCTGGCATCTCTTCCCTCCCCCACCCCCACCCCCAACGCAGGGTGCAAAGCGGTACAACAACAGATGAAAGATCTAATCCTTTAGGCTAAGTGGCTTGCGTGACCCTCTGCTGCCGTTGCTTACTCGCCCATTAGAGGCGGTGTCTTGCCTCAGTCGCTCGTCAAAATTCCCCACGCACTGACTGACAGCTGAACTGCTGTGTGTTGAGCAGCGTCACTGAGGTGTGTCGGTGCAATCCTATTGTGACCCTGACTCCCTGGGGTGAGACACTGCATTGTGACACCCTCCCCCCACCCCACCCCACTCTCCCGAGACACTGATGTTGCTCAGCGCTGGGTGTGTGCAGGGGAGCGAGGAGGTTACTTACACAGGGATCGGATGAGACGTCAAACCGAGCTCCCGTCTGCCTGTTTGGGTGGACGTGAAAACTTCTAATGGCGCTGTTTTGAGGAGGCGCAGGCGATTCTCCCAATCTCCCGGTGCCCTGGCAGATATTCCTCCTTTGTCCCACGTTTCACCACCACCGAACATCTCCCACCCACCGCCCGCCCGCCCACGATTTAGCCGATCATTCCTCTTGTTGGCTGTTTGCGCATAACCATCGCGGTGACAGCCACCAGTTCACTGCGCTTCAAATCACTTTATTGACACGATCGGACAGCAAATACCAAATGCAAGTATTGCAGAACAGTGAGGGGTTGGCGGGGGGGGGAGTGGACGGCGGGTGTTTTTTTTTTCAGTGCTAATATTTTGTAGCTGGTTCTTTGTAACTGCTTCAGGTGCGAAGCTGGACAGGGGTGGGGGGTGTGGGCTGACGTGCTGATGGTCAGAATAAGGCGCTGAGTGAAATGCAGATCGTGGGGTGTCCTCCCGACGTGAAAGGCGCTGTACAAATGTCATTTTCTTTGTTTGTTTGTGTTCATTCCACTGTTCTGTTACAGGCGCAACATGTACAGAGGCCGGAGGAGACGAGAGGACGACAGGACTGTGGTGAGTCCTGTGTCTGGGTGGACGTGTGTGCCCGTGCGCGTGTGCCCGCATACGGGCGGAAGGAAGGGCCTGGGAGGGTCGCAGCCCCTGGAGCAGAGGAGTTGGCCGCTACTTGCAAGCAGCGCCTGTCACTCGGTGTCTCTTTAACGCCTGCCTCGCACACCATTCTCGTTGCGGGTTCCTGCGTCTCGGAGGCGTGAACGGCAAGGATTGTTATCACTGTCGCTCCCTTGTTGGTTCGGCTGCTCACGAGCTTCTCCCTCTTGTGGTTGCAGAGAGCGCCGCCTCTGGAGTTACCGGCACCAAAACTGGACCTGGCCCCATCAAACTTCCCGCCTCTGCCCGGCTCAGTGGCCAGCCCGCAGGGGGAGATGGTGCTCGAGAACAGGATGTCCGATGTGGTCCGGGGCATCAGCAAAGACAAGGTACAGAGCGTCCGGGACTGGAACAGCTCGACCTAGCTGCTCGCGCTCGCTCGGACGGTTGTGGGTTCAAACCACCCCCACCCCCGTGGCTTTAAACCGAGGCTCCAGGGCAGTACGGTACCATGTGAATTTACCTGAATTCGTATTTATTTGCCCACAAAATTCACAGTCAATTCACTTGACAGAGTATCCCGCGAAGCGCTTTGAGGCGTCTCGAAGACGCGAAAAGGCGCTGTATCGAGTGCCAGGATTATTATTATTATTTACTGTTGTTATACTGAGCTGCGCCTTTGATCCCAGCCACCAGCTCGGGGTGCGGATCCCAGACTGTCCAGCGCCTTGGGGCGTCCTCCTGACCTGAAAGGCGCTGTGTAAGCGTCAAGCGCTGTCGTTTGCTGGAGGTTGTAAAGCCGTGTGTGTTTTTCCCGCGTGTGCAGCAGGAGTCCAGTAAGGAGAGCAGTGTAAATGCTTCAGTCGCAGCCTCCGACGATGTGCCACCCAACACCGTGCCCCAGCCATCCGCCGCAGCCAAGTGCGCGAGTCAGCCCACTCCCCTGGACACAAACACCGTGACAGTCAGGTAGGAACCAACCCATGGGCCACGCACTTGCCTGGGGGCTTAACCCGCTCGGCTCGGAGGATCAGAACCCGTGTAGCTTGTGCTGCTGCAACGAGCTGTGCTCCTACAGGGACATGGAGTCCCGTAGTGGTCAGCACGCTCACCTCGCAAGCAAGCAAGAGGACTCGGGTTCGAGTGAAACTCTTGGGCAAGCTTCCTTACCCCGCGGGCACGCCTCTGCCTACCCAGCAGGAACCCGGTTGTTAGTCGATTGGCGGATCGTATTTCTGGGGGTTCCCTTCAGAATAATAAATAAACCCGGAAACTTGGGTGAATTTGTTTCCTCTTTACTTTAATCCGAGCCAGGGGCCAGTTGTAGCCTGACTGACATCGGGTAACTCTGCACAGAGCAGGATTCGAGATTCCCAAGGCTGAGCTCTTACCCGCTGGGGCCTCGGGGAGAGGCTTTGGCCTGTCGAGCGCGCGAGAGGGCGGACGCCCGCCATTTCAGGAGCTTAATTGGAGCCGTCGTGGTTTTAAGTCGCGCCCTGCTTAAGCTGCTTTCCGTTTGGTTCCTGTCCACACAGCCCGTCGCAGCCCGACAAGAAGGTGACCGAGACGCCAGGACAACAGGAAACATCCTCTCAGGCCTCCTCTTCCTCTCCCCCCTCCTCATCCTCCCCGCCAGCCGTTAGCAAACCAGCCCGGACTAGCAGCGCCCAAGCTAGTGTAAGTGTGGCACCCGTACAGTCATGTGGGTGAGGGAGGGAGGAAGGGAGGGAGTGAAGTGCTAATTAACTAGGATTTGGTCACCCGACCCGCCGCGACTGTGTGTGGGGACGCTGCTGTGAGCAATTGGCTGCCGCGTTTCGCCCACAAAATACAGTCACTGCACATCACAGTACATCCTGCGAAGTGCTTTGAGACGTCTCGACGACATAAGGCGCTGTATCAAACGCAAGGATTATTATTTATTATGACTGTGGAACTTGGCTTGACACCAGCTCCTAGCTTCCCCCCACCGCCACTCTCTAACCAACCGTACTTTCTCCCCCTGCCCCCCACCACACAGGAGCCCAGAAAGCTGAGTTACGCCGAGGTTTGCCAGAGACCACCCAAGGACCCCCCCCCACCCCCGGTCCAGCCGCTCCGAGAACTGCGCACAAACACGGCCACCGGCAAGGCCGAGGAGAGCGCCGGCGGGGGGGCGGGAGAGAAGAGCCCGGACAAACCGCAGGAGAAGCCGGAGGGGCGGCCGAAGGAGCCGGCCGGCTACCGGGGCGGCCCGGCCCCGCGCGGAGCTGCCGGTAAGATCAAGGAGCAACGCCGGCAATTCGGACGCCGGGCTTCACCTCAGGGGGCTGGCAGGCGTTCCGGGAAAGAGCAGACCGCGCCTCCCAAATCACCAAAGTAAAAACAAAGCAAAATCAAACTGTGCTCACCTTCCTTCTCCCTCCTCCCCCTCCCTCCCTCCCTCTACCCCCTTCCCCTCTCCTCACTCTCCCCTTCCTTCCCCCCCCCACCCCACCCCTTCCTCTCCCCTCCCTGACTGGGACCCGGCCTGCGATTGGGGGCCATCCATTCGAGAAGCAGAAGCGAAAAAGACTTGTGACCCGACAGAAAATTCTGCTCTGAAGAAGTCCTTCTTCTTCTACCTGTAAAATATTGTATCTGATAGAAAAAAAAATAATTCAGTCTCAGTGGATCGGGGACTGAGCCTAACCCAAGGATCCAACCAAAACCAGAGAGAGAGAAAAAAATTGCCTGTTTTACTCTTTGCGTGCGTGCGTGAGTGTTGTGCGTATGTGAGTGTGTGTTCGTGGGGGTGGGGGGGCTGTAAGCTTGAGTAATTGGGATGTGCGTGCTTGCACGCGCATGTGTTTTTTCGAGCTGTGCTTTAACACGCCTAGAATTACGGTGTTAATACATATAATAGCTGAACCTCAAATCGCTAGGAGTTGTGTGTAGACAAGACAGTGTGTGTGCGTGTGTGTATGTGAGAGAGAGAGAGAGAGAGCGCACGAGAAAAAGAGATAAAGTATTTGTTGTTAGAAAAATCCTGCAGTTGTTACCAGATCAGAAAAAGAGCTATGTTCTTTTTTTTAAAAAAAAGAACTACTCACGATATTTTCTTTCCCGCCCGGGTGATTGCAGCGATTTTGTGTGTGTGTGTGTATTTTTTTTTCTCTGAGCGATTTGTTTATTGGCAGGTCTTCGTTTTGCACGTGCGTTTGCATGTGTTTAGCACACTCGTGCTGTGAATTCCGTCTTCTTTTTTTGTCCTCGCTAACGTTGAATGTATAGCTTGTGTTTCTCCCCCCACCACCCACCCCCCATCCCCTCGCCTTCTAGTTTCAGTTTGTTTACATCTATAACCAGACGTCTTTGAGATTCTCCCCCCCCTTCCTCACTGAGGAGCCCCCACCACTCAAGAGTATTTTGTCTTCAAAGCTCAGTGTAGCTCAAGAGTTGAGGCAACATTCTCAAACCCAGTCTTACTTACTTAACATGGGAGACGCTGCTTTTCTCTTGACGTTTAAAACAAAAGACGTGTAAAAACCAACTCCCTAACTAACTAAGATGGGATGTTTTCCGTGATTCTGCGCCGTCCACTGTACATTTTGAGACCGCTTTTTGTTTCAGGGTCTTATTGGCAGCGTAGTAGGGGGTGGGGAGGGAGAGAGACAAAGACGCAGAGAGAGAGAGAGATCATGTTGGAAGCCCCAGCACTAAATATTGCTGCAAACTCTTATCAAGCTTCAGTGACACCTACGGAATTAGAGCCAAGCAGGGTGGACTGTTGGCAGTCTGTACACTACAGTTATGTGCTGAATTATACCCTTCACTCCCCCCAAGCGGTTACCTTGTTCGGATGGGGGGGGGGGGGGAGAGAACTAGGGGGTCAGGTTACTTGTTTGACCTGACGTGCAGTTCTGTGCTCTCTCGTCTCTGTTTAAAATGCTGCTGTGATTAACCCTGTGATTTAACGGGTGGGAAGGGATGTGAGCGAGAAGATGACTCAATGGCTAGAATGATCCCAGCTCCTGCCGCCTCCCAGTCTTGTAGAGATTCAACGGCCATTTGACCCTCAGTGACGGATGTTGGGGGGGGAGGGGGGAGGGGGGGTGAGTGTGGGGCACGGGAGAGAAGAAGATTGTGCAATTCAATACAGGACACGTTAAGAGATTGTGGTCTGTTGGAAGGGGGAATGAGACAAAATATTGATTTATGTAGAGGAAGTCTCTCTTCTCCCCCCACCGGCAAAACCATGACCCTCCCACAGCAAGTGAGCCAGTTTCCTAGAGACAGTGTTGTGCTGAAGGTCCCAGCGTACACTCTGCAGGTTTAACTCCATCCTTCATTGCTCGTTTCTCAGTAACAGTCGAGACGTCTTTTGTCCACAGTGACCTGGCTTTTATTTAACTCTTTTAACTCAGCCCAAATCCCCTGGCAAAGGGTCACTGAAATCTGGAGCTGGGTGGAACCTGCCAGCTTACCCCCCCCCCCCCCCCCCACCCCATCTCCCTCCCTCGTCCTGGTGACAAAGCGTTCAATGCCACACAAACCAAACTGCTGGTCTCTCTCTCTCTCTCCCTCCCTCCCTCCCTCTCTGTCCCTCTTGTTTTGTTGTGTTGATCTGTAAAATGCACAGAATTTGGTTCAAACGCAGATCGAGCCATTTTTGAAGGTGTTACGTGCGCACAAACAAACGCTTACAGACAAAGCAGGCGGCCTAACGGGACACTCGAGTGTTAAGTCACCTACACTGAGATAACTCTTATAAATAGATGTATAGTGTACATATTAAGTGCTGAGCTGTGTCCTTTCTCCAGTGTGTGTGTGTGTGGTTGGGTGGGTGGGGGGGGAATGGGGAGAGAGGGCTCTCTTACAGAATGTTTGCTGTACTAAGTCTGTCTTGACGGTTTATTCCCACACGAAGCATTGTTGTGGGTGTGTGTCGTGCTGTACATTACGTTGGCGCTAAAGAGGTTTTAGCTTAAGGACTCCCTCTCTAATTGCTGTACAGCTAAGTCGCCTTCTGTTGTGCGCTTTCCCATCTAAAGTCCCAGTTCAGTCCGTTTACTCCTTCCTTGGCCCTTTGCGGCTGCTGTGTATGAGGCGGAGAGAGAGAGAGAGAGAGAGGCGCTGATCCCCATTGTTTATGGGTTTATCACAGCAAAGAATTACCTTGTCGGTGGCTGAGCCAGAGGAGACCAGGCAAGAGTTGAGGCGTCAGGGGAAGTGCACAGTAGAGCCTGATCCTAGATCGAGGAGAGGGCGGATGTCGAACGGCAAAGGTTACGTGTGCGAGAGAAAGCCGGGAGACTTTATAGGTTTATTAGTATTATTATTATACACGTTTTGTGTTGGGAGGGTGGTGGAAAAGAGAGAGGGGCTTGAGAGAGGTCTTCCACAAGTTCCGTTGCTGTAAAGTAGAGACAAACTTGCCAGACAAGTGCTCTCAATGGCAAGCTGCGTAGTGTTAGCTGGTTAGGCTCCAGCAGTTACCCCCAATGCATCCCCTCCCCACCACCACCAAAGCCTTGGCTCTCGCCAGCCTGCGCCTAACGCTCTCCGTTAATGAGGTGAGCAGGATGCATCCCTCCAGCGAGTGAGTTCCGTTCCTATCCAAGGGAATTTCCGCGTCTAAGATGGATGCACGTTTGGTTTGGCTGCTGTTGAGCGCGGTGATGGGTTTCTGCAAGTGTCAGACAACTGACTGAACACAAGCAAAAAGCAGAATTAAGCCGGGTCGAGTATTGGCATAACTAAATCCTTGACTGTGCGTGTGTGTGTGTGTGTGTGTGAATGAGTTAGAAACTTGATTGTTTCTTTCAAATTACAGGTATCTCCTCTGTCAATGTATATAATGGTTTTTGAGTGTGTTGGGAGGGTGGGGGGGGGGGGGGGGTGGGAGAGAGAGAGGGGGGGGGGTGGGGTAGAAAGAAAGTTTTATCATGAGAAATTGTGTCTTCGGTGACTGGCTAGCTGGCTGGGTAACCCTGGCTACTAAACCAAAATATTCAGTGGCCCACTTTCTCCCAGACTGAATGACAGCCTTGGATGACTTGTGACCAGTGTCGTCAGTCTGCTTGTCACTTGGGGGAAAGGAAGTTAGTCACTTGTGACTTAAGAACTGCTCGTTCCCTCTATTGATCAACTAACCCCTTCGCTTCCCCCCCCCCCCCACCCTCTTCCGTTAGTGACAATCTTAAATCCTTTGTGATTTTTTTAAAAAACAAACAATAATTATTATTATTAATAAATGAATTTATGATCAATTCAGGCAGCCTCTTCGATGCGTTAGGATTCTGCGCCTACAAGCGAGGAACGAGTTTGTGTTCTCAAACCTCTTACTTGTCCTGTAAACCCGCAAAGAATCTGAGACGAGGGGCGGGGGGGGGGTGGGGGGGTAGGTGTGCGCGTCTTGTCTCAACAGTTAACGTCTGACACCGAACAGGCTGGTCAAATGACACACAGACGCACGCACCCCCACCCTTACTGAGAATCTTCCTCTAGCTTTTTTTTGTGTGGGTGAGGGCTGGCAAACTTATCAATCCTGGCGATCAGGAGTCAGGTTGTTTTTTTTTCCTCTCCCTTTTTGTTAGCGGTAGAGTTGCTATATTAGCGATCTCTACCTCATCGCCTGGATCCTCTTGTCAAGACGGAGAGGCAATTGGGTGGAAGGTTTGATTCTCGTTCTCTCTCTCCCCCCCCCCCCACCACCACCACCACCCCCTGCAGTGGAGTTCTGTGGGTTTTTTTTTTGGTGAAGTTAGCCATGTCTGTCCATTCTGAAATCGGCCCCTGTCCTTCTAAGGTGACATGCCTGTATGTAGCTTGGGTGGGGGGCGGTGAGAGAGAAAGTTAGTGTGTAAAAGGGGGTCCTTCCTGCTTTTAGGGTTCCTCAGCTCTGTGCAAGCCGTGTTGGCTTAGGACTTTGCTGTGTGTGTCTGCGTCGGCTTGAGTTGGGTTGTGTTTGTGCAGATGGAGCTGTGCCTAGGACAGGGTCTGTGTCAGTACGAGACTTAAGTGTTAACCTCTCTCTCCACGCCGTGGTTAACCGTTCATTCCGCCACAGAGTTGGTGTTGAGTCACTCGGTTTTCATCTCTCTGCTCGGGGGAGCGCTGATGGGGACCCAATGTCCGAATATTCTCCCGGAGATTCCGGGTTGGCTTGGGAGAGTAGCGTGAGCTGCTGTTGTCATCCAGTGAGTAGCTTGTCAGTGTTAGACACTCTGCAAAGGGTAGCTCCCTCCACACTGGTGTCTCACAACCCAGTTGAGCGCTTTCAGGCTGGGGAACTGATTGAGATGTTTGTCATCTGAGGCAGAATCCGCCAGGGGGGTTTTCTTACTCCACCCAGCACAGAGAGCTTCCACAATGAGGAAGTGTGGGTTTTTTTTTTGTGTGTGTGTGTATGTGTGTGAAGTACTTAAATGGCCTGGGGTGGGGGGGAGAGAGAGGAGAGAGAGCGAGGGGGAGGCAGGGAGAGCGAGTGAGGGAGGGGGGGTGGGAGAGAGAGTAAGTGAGCAAGGGAGAATGGGTTACCAAAGGCTCTTGCGAAAAGTCAAAGCGGGTTGCGACCAGCTCTGTGTGAATCCTGTAACGTGAGGGTTAGGAGATTGCGCACAGTCACTCCCAGAGAGGAGATGACCAAAGGTGTAACGTGAGATAAGCACTGACCGCTCAAAACTCAATTATTTGCAATCTTTTACTTAGCTGTTTTTTTTTTTGATGGGAGGGTGGGGTGGGGGGGGGAGAGGGGGAGGGGAGGGCAGGGAGGGGAGACTATCGATTGCAAACCGTGAACTATTATGATCGTATGATTGATCATTTTGATTTCTTTTTTGTTAATTTTAAGAAGGGGAGTTTGCTTGACATCTTGTGTATATAATAGATGAATTAATCCGCAGGTTATCCTGAATCTTGTACAGTTAGAGATACTTAAACAGACAAACAACAACAAAAAAAAATGCTTGAATTATAAACTGTTGGGAGAGATGATTTGTGCCTCTTCACCTCTGAGAAGCAGAGACGAAGTTTCATTTAGTGACTCTATATATAAAGTGTTTGTGAGATGCCAGCCTTCGAAGCGTCGACATTTATTTGAGCAGTGTTTTTTGCCGCAAAAGTTATTTTTATTATTATTTTGACGCTTTCAACTGGTGAATTAATTATAAATGATGTGAATAGAGTGTGATCCGACTTCCCCCCCCACCCCCACCACCACCACCCCTCCTCACCACCACCTCCTCCCCCCGACCAGTGTATGAATACAGTAAACTTCTGATAACTCATTTCGCCCACAAACATACGGTCGATCCGTTTTAGAGTATCCTGTGAAGTGCTTAGGAGACGTCTCGCAGACGTGATAAGGCACTAAATCAAATGCAAGGATTATTATTATTATTATTATTATTCTAACTCGTCACTCCCAAGAGAGGAGGGTTCGACGACCAGTTATCAGGAGCGATGAGGTAGGGGTGTGTATAAATTCGGCCGGCGTATGGACAGCATGATGACTTAAGCGGTAGTGATTGAGTTATCAGGACTTTACTGTACAACTTTCACCGCCCTCTTCTCTCCTGTAGTTTTGCATGCAAGAAATTACAGTGCATTTGCTTTTATTTTTATTCCCTCATCTGTGAGCTGTCTCTTAACCCAGCCGAGTCATTCATAACGATGATACACTGCACGCGTTTGACATGGGAGTGTCATATGTATAATATATATTATATAGGCGCGTTTGCGTGTATGTGTGTAAAGCTAATTGAGTTGCATTTCCAGGATTGGTTGCTGTAGTGGAAAGAGGGAGGTGGGGAAACCAGGGAAGGGCCAGTGGGTGCTTGTCTGGGGAGGAGGGAGAAATGAATAGATCTTGGAATATAGTCAATTGGCGAGTGGCAGGGCCGTGGGGTAGAGGAGAGCGAGAGAGAGGGAGTAATGTCTTGTCATCAATGGGTGCGTGGGGTGGGGGGAGGGAGGGAGGGGAGATGAGATGGATGTTAAGTCCGGTGACTGTGTTGAAGTGTGCAACCCATGCTGTGTAAACTTTCAGGGGTGGGTTGGGGGAGGTGGGGGGGGGTGAAGCTGAGCTCATTTCCTTCGGCAATTAAAAATAATTGGCCTTTTCATATAACCCACTGACGTAAGGCGGGTTGTAATGGGTGAGCCTTTTTTTTTATGAAAGCTTCTCCGCAACTCCCCCCACCCCCTCCCTCCCCCTCCACCCTCACCCCCACCCCTTCTCCCCCCCCCCCCCACCAAACAACCGACCCATCACGCGGGCGGGCGGGCGGGCAGGCGGGTTACCCGAAACCGTGGAAATCGCAGACTTTCTACTAACAGTTGCGAGAAACGGTAAACGGAAATTAAAAATCGAATTAAATTAAAGAGAATTACAAGAATAACAAGAATGCACTTGGAAACAGTCCCGCCCCGCACTGCTTCGCGGCGGCGGTGGTGCGAGGCGAGTGATTTACTTAAATATTAAATGCTGAACGACTTGTGGATATGCAGTTAGTGGCTTTTTTTTTTCTTCTCGTTTTCGTAAATGTTAATATTTTTTTCCCCCCCCCCTGCAAACCGACCTTTTTTTTCTGTTAAATCTTATTAAAACCATGTATGTGTTCGTGTTATTTTTCTTCCTTCCCCTCCATCCTCTTTCGCGCCCCCTCCCTCCCTCCCGTGTTGTTGTCTGTTTAATCCGAACTTCCTTGTAGACTGGTTCACTGGGGTGGGGGTGGGAGAGAGCGCGGTTGTTCAGTGAGCTCGCCACAGCGCAACACTCTGTATTGTTCCATGTGTTTTGTTGCGAGAGCTGAAAGGGAGGGGGTGGTGGGGAGGGGAGTGGGGGGGGGGAGAGAGAGAGAAAAAAAAATGGTTGTCCCTTCCCCGTTTGTGCTCCCCAAATTTTCCATTCCCTTGGCACACGTGCTCGAACCACTTAAGAGGAACAAGTCAACGAACGTTGGGAGGGGAAAGTGTTGAGGGGTGGGGGCCGGGTGGGGGGGGGAATGGCATAAGAAGCCGGATTGAGTTTAACATCTGCGTGTCTGTCCGCCCCTCTCTCTCTCTCTCTCTCTCTCCCTCTCCCCCCCTCTTTGATTCTCTCTCCGTGACACAAGTGTTAATTGTGTGGTGTTTATTCGCTCGCTCTCTGTGTTGAATGAGAAAGGTACATGGACTCTTGATTTCCCCCCCCCCCCCCTGTCATTGCCAAGGTGCTATGGAATATTGAAATAACACACAAAAAAAAATTAGGAAAAAAAATAAAGCTAATCTTAAAAGACCGTGGCGTGCTGGAGAGTCTTTGTGTAATAATAGTTCTGGGCAGCCTCAAGCTCTGTACGGTACTGGCGAGATCACATCCCCCCTCTGTGCCCCCCACACAAAAAATTACACATTAAAAAGATTTGATGACTCAGTCCACAACTGTTTGTGGGACACACCTGTGGCAGCATTCAACCCACCTGAAGACTGAGGTGGATAGATATCTGGCAGATCAGGGTATCGAAGGATATGGGGCAAAGGCGGGTAATTGGAGTCGAGGTACAGATCGGCCGTGATCTTAATGGAGTGGTGGGACAGGCTCGAGGGGCTGAATGGCCTCTTCCTGTTTCTGTATTTCTAACTAATTCACTTTACAATAGATTCTGCGAATTGCTTTCTTTTCCCTCCCTGTACGCTTTAATATATCTCCTCACCACCGCCCCCCGCTCACACCCCTTGTGAGCAACAGAGCTTTGCATCTCTGTGGAGATTCTGCGTCAGTCAACGAAGATGATATTTATCAAAAAAACTTGTTTATTAATGTTATCCATCATAGCTTTGCATTGCCAATCCATGACAAAATCTTCTTTGCTTTACGTATACCACGTTAAACAAACACACGTGCGTATTGTACACACAGATCAAAGGCCTGAGCTGTCTGCGTTTGCAGCAACAACGCATTACATTTCCACGGCGCGAGGACATCCGAAGGCGCTGGACAGTCAAGAGACTGGGACCCGAGCTGGGGTTTGGGAATGGGGGAGGTTAGGAAGGTGGCTGAAGACACGGTTGAAGAGGAGGGTCTTGTGCCTGGAAGGGGGCAACGGAGGCAGGGAGGGGGCGAGGCGAAGGGAATGTAGGATGGAGTTCCGGATGGTGATAACGGTGACTGCTCCGGCCTCAACCGTCCCACTGACTTGGCCATGGCTGTAGATTCTCGTTCATATCTTCAGGTAAAACCTTGAACCTTGGGGGGTGGGGGGCTACCAATCTCTCTAACCAGACCCTGGGATCTGGCTAGAGAGACAAGCCCCCACCCTCCCCACTCCCAGTGATGTGTACGTCCCTCCCTGCATTGAGGAGAAAGTAGAAATGGGGGGCGGGGGGGTGGGGGAGAGAAATGGGGACTACTAATCCCTCAAGGCAGCTCCAATAATAATAATTGGTCGGGGGGGGCAGGGAGGTGCTTTCATCGGATGAGCTGGGGTAGGGTTCGGGTGGGGGGGTGGGGGGAGATGACGTTACTCTGCCATAAATTTGGGGTTCACGATGGTGGTGGTTGCCCCCTTGTACAGAGGGTTGGAAGCCTGTGGGGGTGAAGAGAGATGCAGAGAATCAGATTAAAGTCGGACCGGAAACCGTGTGTCCCTCAATTAGTTTTCGCCCCCCACTCCCTCGCCTCCAGTGAAATGGGGGGGGTGCATTCCCCCCCCCCCCCGCGCGGGAAAAGGGGCAACAACTCGCGTTGACGCAGCGCTCCCCTCACATGGCGGATGTGGGGGGGGGGCTCACCTCGTGCCAGCGTTCGTTCTTCCGCTCCTTCATGAACCGATTGAATTCCCTGCGATCGTACACCTCAGTCAAGACCCTCCACGTCATCAGCAACAGCAGCCCGAAAAACACGATCCCCGACACCACCGAGACGATGGTGATCAGCCGCGTGTCGTGATCCTCCCCCACTGAAAGGTATGACATGGTCGTGTGACGCGTTTTGAGTCTAAGGACGTCCGCGCGTTCATCCCCGAACCCCCCCCCCCCCCCACCACCACCACCACCCCCAGTTGCTGTACAATGCAATCTGTTGTTGTTGTGTTTGCTAGCCATAATAATAATAATGATAATAATAATCCTGGCATTTGATACAGGGCCTGATCACGTCGTCGAGACATCTGAAAGCGCTCCACGGGCTACGCTGTGTGTTTTGTGGGGGCGAAAAGCGGCAGCCGGTTGCGCACGGCAGCGTCCCCCGCAAACAGCAGTGGGTTGAAGTGACCAAATTATTGTGCGTGTGTATATATATTTTATATATGTATATATATTAGCTGCAGCCATTAAGGCTACGCTTTCATCTGTCGTTTTTATTTGGCCTTGAAAGGCTTGACCTTCGCTCCTTGGGCACCTTTATCCCTTTACGGTTAAGAAAAATGTGCCTTTGAACTCGTCAGCAGCCCTCGTTCACGTACTTTCGCACGCACAACCTTTTGGGAGGACTCGTGTGGGAGGATTCCTGTTTTGTGGGGGAGGCGAGGGTGGGGGGTGGGAGAGGGTGAGAGGGGAGAGAGTCGGGGGTGGTGGGGGGGGGGGGGGCTGGTTTCTCACCCTGGTTGTAGACCTGAAAGTGGTAATTGTTCTTCCGTTTCTCCAAGAAGAAATCCACTCGCCGGCCTCCGTGGAAACTCTCGGAGCAGTTGGTTTCCTTTCTCGGCAGCTCCGTTTCCATGATCACGTGGCCACAGCGCTGGGTACAGTCCTCGTCCTGGGCTCCAAACACCCAACACCGAACACAGTCTCTGTGGGCAACACAACATCAGGTTTAGATGGGGGGGGCAACCCCCCTCTCCCAGCCCACTGTGCCTGTTTATAACATTGTGTAATGAGTCCATACCTACACCCTCTCTATTCCTCCCCCCACTCCTACACCCCCTCTATTCCCCTCTCCTACCCCCCCTCCTACACCCCCTCTATTCCCCTCTCCTACACCCCCTCTATTCCCCTCTCCTACACCCCCTCTACCTCTCCTACACCCCCTCTATTCCCCTCTCCTACACCCCCTCTATTCCCCTCTCCTACACCCCCTCTATTCCCCTCTCCTACACCCCCCTCTATTCCCCTCTCCTACACCCCCCTCTATTCCCCTCTCCTACACCCCCCTCTATTCCCCTCTCCTACACCCCCCTCTATTCCCCTTCCTTCCCCCTCTTCGACCGTGGCCTGCGGTCACCTCCCTCTCCCCCCCCCCCCCAGCTCGGTATCATACCGCCACCGTCAGGGGCTCTGGGCTGCTGCCCCGCGCGCGAGGGGCCGCTGTGTTAAATGTAAGTTGTTGTTGGGGTGGGGGTGGGAGGGGAAACACTCACTTGATGATGTGGCAGGCAAGGTGGCAGTTCAGGCAGTGGCCGCAGTCTGGGGATTGGTAGCCAAGCTCGCACTCGCACTGGTTACACTTGCACTCGCCGTGCCCACTGCACACTGTCCCGTTAACCGGGAAGCATTGGTCGGTGGAGTCTTCACAGTCGCAGGCGCTGCCGATGTAGCCCGGCAGACACTGGCAGAGACCACACACGCACCGTCCCTTCCCTGCAGGTCACCAAATGATCGATCGATCGATCAATCAATCGAAAACCAATCAATAATCCTTACATTTGAAACCGAAGGTGCCAACAGTCACCTCCCCCCTCCCTCTCTCAACCCCCTCACCCCTCCCTCTCTCCAACCCCGCTCCCCGCCCGGCTCGGTGTCGTACTCCGCCACGCCCGAGCGTGGGGAGGTGGTGGGGGGGCTCTCCCCCTGCGCGAGGGCCGGCTGTTGTTGCCCTCACTCACTCACCGCCGCACATGGTGCCGTTGTGCCACTCGCAACTGGAGTCGTCACACTGGCAGTTGTCGCCATGGACCTTGTCCCGGCAAATGCACCGTCCGCACACGCACTGCCCCCGCCCGCTGCACACCAGGTCGGTCTTGTTCCGGCGGCAGTCTTCGCTCAGGGGCCGGGAATCCTCGTCGGCGCTGCACTCGCATCGCTTCCCCAACCGCCCCTCGTCGCAGCTACAGCCGGCAAACCAGGCTCGGAGTGAGAGAGAGACACCGACGCACACGTATACACACACGTGCACACGTATACACACACACACACACACAAGCATACACACACACACACACAAACTCAGACACACATGAACTCATATACACACACACACATGAACTCACATACATACACACAGTCACACACAAACTCACATACAAACACACACGCACAAACGCACATACACACCCACACTGACACTGACACAGACACACACGCACACCCACACACCAACCAGCATCCAACACTACGTACTCACTGCTGTTTGTGCGTGCGTGCAGAAAGTGTGCGATGGACCCTGTTCCTCCCCCCACACCCGGCCCCTCTCTCTCTCCCCCTCTTTCTTCGTCTCTTACCCCTCTCGCTCTCGCCCCTCTTCTCGCGCCGCCCCCCCCATTTCCCTATCTCTTACCTGCACATGCCGCAGGTCAGGCTGCCGTTGCCATCGCTACAGTGAGGGGCCTGGTTGATGAGGTCTCCACAATTACAGGCGCACAGGCTGTTGACCCGGACCACCAGATGCTCACTGAAGCCCAGCGGACGGATCTCAAAGCTCTGCTCCGAGTCGAGGCAGTGAGTCAGCCCGACGTGGACAGTGAAGTTGATCTGTAACCAAACGACCACAAACCGTGACATTGACACAGCTCCTGCCCCTCACGTCGGGAGGACCTCCCAAAGCGCTGGCTGGACAGTCGGGGATTTGGACCCGAGGGGGTGGGGGTTGGGATCCGGAGGGCGGGGGGAGTGGGGGTGGGGGTATAGGAGGGTGAGCGAAAGCGCGGTCGAAGAGGAGGGTCTTGAGACGTGCCTTGAAACATAGAAACAGTAGGAAGCCATTCAGACCCTTGAGTCTGTTCCGCCATTCTATAAGATCGTGGCTGATCTGCATCTCAAGTCTAATTACCCCCATTTGCCCCGTATCCCTTGATACCCTGGAGGCAAGGGATGGGGCGAGGCCGGGGGGGAACTGTGGGATGGAGTTCCAAAGGAAGCTTGGATTGACTGTGTGTTTTGTGGGCGAAAGACGCCAACCCAATTGCGCACAGCAGCGAACCCACAAACAGCCGTGGGTTGAGTGACCAGATCATTTATTACGCACTGCAAGAGGCTGAACCTACGAACGTAAAGAATTTGCCGGCGATAGAAGACAGAGGTCCATCGAGTTCGCCTTCCAACCCTCCATCCTGGCGGTCGCTTGCCATGTCGTGTCCCCAAACTCTATACCGTGTCCCCGAGATGGTATTTTCTTGAAACAAATGACACTTTCTGCTTCCACCGTCTGTCTGTCTCTCTCTCTCTCTCTCTCTCTCCCTGGGAAGCCTGACCCTCCCCACCTCCAGCATTGGTGGGGAGGGTATTGGTGTGTGCAAATCGCGTGCAAACTGTCTGCAAGTGTCGTGCACGTGGCGTTCAGACCGCGCTCACCTGCTCCTTGATGTGCACGTTGGAACACTTGCCCTGCTCTGCCCGCACCGACCCGCTCTGGTCACTACAGTGCGAGTCGTACGACACCGTCACGCCCTCCGGCAGGTTACTGTGCTCCAAGTTGATCGTCGAGGATAAATTCTGAGGGGGGGGAGAGAGAGAGAGAGAGAGCACACATGCGAATACATGCACGAGTGAGAGACCAAGACAGAGAGCGAGCGAATACATAATAATAATAACCTTTGCATTTGACACGGCGCCTTATCACGTGTTCGAGACGTCTCAAAGCGCTTCGCGGGACACGCTGTAAAGTCAATTGACTATATTTTGTGGGCGAAACGCGGCAGCCGATTGCGCACAGCAGCGTCCCCCACATCGAGTGACTAAATTATTTTGTTATTTTTTTGGGGGGGAGGGATTATTACCCCCAGAAAAGCGATCCGCCAATCGACTTGACGACCGGGTTCTTACTCACTGCTGAGTACAACAACAACAACAACAAGATTCCATTTATAAAGCGCCTTTCACGTCAGGAGGACGTCCCAAGGCGCTGCACAGTTGGGTCATGACCCGAGCATTGGGGGGAAATGGTCAGGGGGAGGGGAGGGAAGGGAGGGAGCGAGGAGGGGGAAGAGAGTCGAGAGGGGAGCTGAAGGCTCGGTCAAAGAGTAACCAGAGGCGTGTGTGTGGAGTGAGAAAACTTGCCCAACGTTTCGTCCCGACCTGACCCGCCCGGGAATCGAACCCGGGTCCTCTGGCTTGCGAGGCGAGGGGGGGGGGGGGGGGAGGGAAAGAAAGGGTGGGGTGGGGTGGGGGGTGGTGCAGACTCACATTGTAAGCGTCCATGATGAGCTGGATGACGTTGCTGGAATCGTCCTGCAGTTCCCCCACCACGGACTTTGGGATTAATTTACTGAGGGACTGGGAGACAGAAGAGCAATCAACGACGACAACAACGACGACGACAACGACAACTTGCCATTTATTTAGCGCCCTTCGTGCAGAATAGCGACCCAGACTGCTTGACGTCAGTGATTGTCCTCCCCCCCCCTCCCGCCACCCCACCTAACCTCTCCCCCTGCCCCTCTCAGCCTCTCCCCACCGCCACCCCCGCCTCTCTACCCTCCAAATCCCCCCACCCCGCCCCTCAGCCTCCCCGCCTCCCCACCCTTTAGCCCGACCCCACCTCCTCTCGACCTCCACCCCTTCCCCTCTCGACCTCTCGCCCCTCCGCCACCCCCCCACCCACCTCCCCCACTCCTCTTCCCCTACCCGCCCCTGTGCCCCCACCCCCACGGCCTCTCTGTACCTGATAGATTGGCAATGATTTCTTGGTGACGGCAAAGATAGGTTGGATGTTGGAGGCCGACAGGACTTGAGCCAAGTGTCCGACAGACGGATAATCCTGTCAAACAGCAGTTGTTACTGTCCACCCCCCCGGGAGTAATCCCCCTCCCCCCGTTATAACCCATTATAACCCTCCAATGCACATAACCACGGTGATACTGGGGGTGGGGGGAGGAGGGGGAGGTGAGTGCGGGGGGGCGCGGGGGAATCGGGGGGAGGTGAGTGCGGGGGGGCGCGGGGGAATCGGGGGGAGGTGAGTGCGGGGGGGCGCGGGGGAATCGGGGAGAGGGCAGGCGGAATGGGGATGTGTGGGGGGAAGGGGGGGGGCAGTGTGGGGGAGTCTGTGGGGGGGTAGAGGGGAGTGAGTTTGGGGGGAAGGGAAATGTGTGTGTGGGGGGGTGTGGAAGGGGGTGAGTGTGGGGGTGGGGGAAGCGGGGAGTGTGTGTAGGGAGGTGCGGGTGTGGGGGTAAGAGACTCACATGATGGTTGGCCTCCTGGTACAGCCCCCTGGGCCCCAGGTGACACCGGCCGTCGTTGGGAAGGTAAATGCCGCCGAGTTTGCCGTCGCCCGCTGTGTGGAACGTGTCATCGGACGTGTAAACCAACAGCTTAGTGACGTTCCTCCAACCGATCTTATCCTGGTCACCACGAGACACAGAGTGAGAGAGACACACACACAGTCACACACACAGTCACACACACACACACACAGTCACACGCGCACACAGTCACACGCACACAGTCACACGCACACAGTCACACACACACACAGTCACACACGCACACAGTCACACGCACACACAGTCACACACACACGCGCACACAGTCACACACACACAGTCACACACGCACACAGTCACACACACACAGTCACACACGCACACAGTCACACACACACACAGTCACACGCACAGTCACACACACACACAGTCACACGCACACAGTCACACACACACACAGTCACACACACACACAGTCACACACACGCACAGTCACACACGCACACAGTCACACACACAGTCACGCACACACAATCACACACACACACACACAGTCACACACACACACAGTCACACACCCAGAGACACACACACAGACACAGACACAGAGACACGCCAGGTACAGAGAGACCGAAACAGAGATATACACACAGACACATTCACATTCACAGACACAGACACACACGCGCACACACGTGGCCGGAGCCTGCTGAGCGGAGGGCAGGGAGGGGGGACGGGGGGGGGGGGGGGACGGACAGGGTTGATAAGGGGTTAGCAGGTCCCATAGGTAGGAAAGGGGGGTGAGGGGGGGGAGAGTGAGAGTGGGGGTGGGGGTGTGAGCGAGCCTCGGAAGGGGGACTCACCACGCACACGGCGGCCTGCATGATAGCGTCCAGCCCCCCCTCGGGAGAGTCGACGTTGCCCGAGATGCGCTGGTGACTGACTTTGTTCTCGAATTCGTGCTCGTCCTCCGTGAGGGCCAGGACGTGGCGGAAGGTGAACGGAGGCTGGCACTGCTCGGTGCGGTCGGGACACGGGTTGCGCAGCTTGCGTTCGGTGGTGCTGATGTACGGCAACACCGTCTTGTCCACAAAGGAGCCGAAACCTGCGGAGAGAGAGAGAGAGAGAGAGAGAGAGGGAGAGCGCGAGAGAGTGATAGTGAGAGAGTGATAGTGAGAGAGTGATCGTAAGAGTCAGAAGACAGAGAGTGACATACAGAGTGAGAGAGAGAGAGATATGGTGAGAGTGAGAGTGTGAGTGAGAAAGGGAGAGAAGATAGTGAGAGAGAGGGAGTGAGAGTGAGAGAGAGAGAGAAGAGAGAGATAATAATCTCCCAATCTCCCTCCATCTCCATCCCTCACCTCTCTCTCCCTCTTTCTCTCCCTCCCTCCCTCTCACTCCACCCCCCCGACTCCCCTCTGCCCCCATCCAACCACCTCTCTCTCTCTCTCTCTCTCTCTCTCTCCCCCTCTGTCTCTGTCTCTCTGTCTCCGTTACCCGCAAAACGTTCCAGGGACGAACACCGCGTGGAGTCCTGTAGCTCAGTGGTTAGAGCACTCACTTTGCAAGTGAGAGACCTGAGTTCAATTCCAGACAGAGGGCCAAACCTTGGGCAAGTTTCCTTACTCCACACAGAGCCTAATAATAATCCCTCCAAAACCAAAAACAATAATAAATTGGTCATTTTCAATCCACGACTGTTTGTGGGACATTGCTGTGCGCAATTGGCTGCCGCGTTCACCCACAAATATACAGTCAATTCACTTTACAGTGTGTTCTGTGAAGCGCTTTGGGACGTCCTCCCGACGTGAAAAGCGCTATATCAAATGCAAGGATTATTATTATTATTAGTCGGAGGCCGCTATATAAATGCAAGTTGCTGCTGCTGCTGCTGTTGTTGTTGTTGTCGTCGTTGCCGTACCTATCTTCACTGAGGTGGTGACATTCCTCAGTGCGGACAGCAGATCGCTGCCCAGCTTCACGATGTTCTCCAGATCGTCTTTCATGGAGTAGGAGAGATCCATCAGGTAATAAAGGTCAATGGGGTAGCCTTGAGCTCGCCTGAACGTCACCGTGAAAGACTCCTCTTGGCCTGAGAACAGAGCGGCAAAAGCCACGGACGGTTTCTCCCGTGTTTCTCAGTCGAAACCTCTCGATCTCTCCACCCCCACCCCCCCCCCCCCCCACCCACTCCCACTCCCACGCGCCTTATCGCGTCGCCGAGACGCCTCGAGGCGCTGCGCAGAAATGTGATGGGAATTATGCTGCGGCTCAGGGGGTTAGAGCCCTCGCCTCGCAAGCGAGAGGACCCGGGTTTGACTCCCGGGAAATGTTGGGGCAAGTTTCCTTACTCCGCACACACACATACACATACACAGATACACGCACACACACACACATACAGATACACACACACACACACAGATACACGCACACATACAGATACACACACACAAGTACACACACAGATACACACACACGCGCACACATACAGATACACACACACGCGCACACACGCACACAGATACACACACACGCGTTGTTTCCCGAGCAGTAAGTAGGAACCCGTTTGCTCGTTGATCGCCGGATCGCTTTTCTGAGGCAGTAATAATCCCTCCGGGAAAAAAAGAAATGACGGTAACGATTTGGTCACTTCGATCCGCGGCTGTCTGTGGGGGTGGGGGGGGGACGCTGCCGGGCGCAATGGGCTCCCGCCTTTCGCCCGCAAAACACACAGGTCACTCCACTTTACGGCGTGTCCCGTGAAGCGCTTTGAGACGTCCCGAAGAACGCGATTCAAGCGCTGTGTCGAACGCGAGGACTGTCACTGCAGGATTACAGTGACTGTGTATTGGTGTGAGCGAAAATATTTCAGGTCGGTGACTATAAAGCCGTTCGCGTACCTGGTCGGAGGCTGAGACTGACGGCCTGGGGCGTGAGCTGCTCCACCGTCTCGCCGTCCCCCCCAGCCCGGCTCTGCTCCGTCACCCGGTGTGATCCGCGAGGATTTACCACCTCCTCCTCGGAGCAGCCGCGGTGTAGAAGGTTCTGCTCGACGTCACACCGGGATGACTCCGGCTCCCCCGCCTGGGTGAAGTTCTGGGAAAGAAAGAGGAGAGAGAGAGATCCCGCGGGGTTATCCCCATCCTATCGGCCACCGGAACGCCCTCGTCCCAGACGTTCGCGGCGATCGACGGTTGGGGTGTGTTTTCTCTGGTGTCTGACTCATGGCTGTGGTTAAGAGGCTCTGAGCCATATTTTAGCCACTAACACGCATTCCTGTGTCTGGAATGGAATGCGCTTCCTCTCTCTCTCTCTCTCTCTGGAGAGGCGCCCCCTGCTCGCCTAATTCCTGGAAGTGTTAGACGTTGGATGGCAAGAGCCAAGGCTTGTGGGGGGGGGGGGGGACGGAGAGTGGGTGGGGGGTGGTTTTGGGGAGCCCAGAGTGCGCGTTGGGGGTAACTGCTGGAGTCTAACCAGCTAAACCCACACGTCGCCAGCTTGGTCTCTGATGTCGCTGTCTGTCCAAGCTTTGTCGCTGCTCGCCCTCAGTTAGTTTAGTTAGTTAGTTAGTTGGTTGGTCGGTCGGTTGGTTAGTTAGTGCTTTGGCTGCAGGGTTAACGGGAGCTGAGGGGGAGGATTCCAGTCACTGGTCGGCCCTTCCAGGTCCTGCCGATGGATGAGCCGGACTGTGGGCTGTGCTGTCATCAGCAGTGAGTGCCCTGGGACACTGCGGCCCCTCCTGGCTCAGGAACCGGGACTGGAGACCGTCACGGAGAGGGTTGGCTCGATTCCCACATTGCATTGGTAGGAACGTTACATTGGCCCCAGTTTATTGGCGTAGATCCCCTCCTCCCTCTCCCTCCCCCCCACCCCCCACCCCCACACGCTGCCACACTGAGCTGCCGAAACGACCACAAGCCTTGATTTCCTGGTACAAAAAAACATGTGAACATCACATCACATCCACTACGGCCGCAGAAAAGACCCCCTCTATCGACTAACAACCCGGTTCCTATCTGCTGCGTGTGTGTGTGTGTGTGTGTGTGCAGAGTAAGGAAACTTGCCTAAGACTTCCTCGCCCTGCCCGCCCTGCCCTGCCTCGCCCTGCCCGCCCTGCCCTGCTCGCCCTGCCCGCCCTGCCCTGCCCTGCCCGCCCTGCCCTGCCTCGCCCTGCCCTGCCCTGCCCGCCCTGCCCTGCCTCGCCCCGCCCTGCCTCACCCTGCCCTGCTCACCCTGCCCGCCCTGCCCGGCCTCACCCTGCCCGCCCTGCCTGCCCGCCCTGCCCTGCCCTGCCCGCCCCGCCCTGCCCTGCCTTGCCCTGCCCGCCCTGCCCGGCCTCACCCTGCCCGCCCTGCCCTGCGCGCCCCGCCCTGCCCTGCCCGCCCGGGAATCAAACCCAGTTCCTCCAGCTGGCGAGGCGAGGCGAGGGCACGACACTACACTTGACCATGATTCGTGTGGGACGTGGTGTGTGTGGGTGACTGTTATAAATGGAATCTTGTTGTTGTTGTTGTTGTTGTTGTTGTTAACTGTCAGGAACTAACCAGCTGTTTACACCAAGCGCACTCCGGCCTCTGCTCGATGCACTGATCGCACGAGTCTCTGGGCTGACATCCTCCACCCGAGTCTAAAGGGAGAGAGAGAGAGAGAGAGAGAGAGAGGAAGAGTGAGACCCAACAACAACAACAACTTGCATTTATACCGCACCTCTCACACAGGCTAGGGTTCCCCCTTGTTCTGGATTTGCCCCACGCACCAGAGGAAATAGTTCCTCTGTAGGTACCCTATCGAATCCCGTTTTAAACACCCCCTTCAGTCAGATCAGCCTCAACCTTCTCAACTCGAGGGAATACAGACCAGGTTTTTGCAATCTGTCCTCGTCATTGAACCCTTTAAGACCCTGGTATCATTTTAGTCAGTGTTAATAATACTACTACTACTACTAATAATAATAATCCTTGTATTTGATACAGCGCCTTATCAGGTCGTTGAGACGTCTCAAAGGGCTTCGCAGGATACACTGTAAAGTGGAGTGACTCTGACATCCAATAGCGCACAGCAGTGTTCCACAAACAGCCGCGGATTGAGTGACCAAATTATTGCTATTATTTTATTTTTGAAGGGATTATTACTCCCTGGAAAGCCATCCGCCATTCGACTAACAACCAGGTTCCTACTTACTGGCGCTGACAGCATCAGCATCAGCATCCAAGGCTGCACTCTCCACCTCTCAAAGCCATCAGGAACCTCGGTGTTCTGTTCGACCCTGAGCTGTCCTTTCGCCCTCATATCCGCACCACAACCGGCACTGCCTTCCATCACCTCCGGAACATCGCCAGACTACGGCACTACCTCACCCCTCACGCGGCTGAAACTCTGGTCCACACCTTTATCACCTCAAGGCTGGACTATGGGAACTCTCTCCTCGCCGGCCTTCCCGGCCCTCCCTCCACACTGCAGGTCATTCAGAACTCTGCAGCTCGTGTACTGTCCCGCACCAGACACCGCGACCACATCACTCCCACCCTCGCCCTCGCCCTCACCCTCGCCCTCGCTCGCCTCCACTCGCTCCCCATCCCCCAGAGGATCGAATTCCAGATCCTCATCCTCACCTACAAGGCCATTCACGGCCTCGCTCCCTCCTACCTCTCCGACCTACTATCCCCCTACCTACCCGCCCGTACCCTCCGTCCCTCTGGCTCCGGTCTGCTCAACATCCCCCGCCCGACCATCGGTGGCCTTCAGCCTCTCAGCCCCGAGGCTCTGGAACTCTATCCCCAGTGCCTTCGCCGCTTCCTCCCTTTCCTCCTTCAAGGCCGGTCTCAAGACCTTTCTCTTTGACGGTGCCTTCAGCTCCTCTCTCGACTCTCTACCCCCTCCGCGCTCCCTCCCTTCCCTCCCCTCATCCTGACCATTTCCCCCCAATGCTCAGGTCCTGACCCAACTGTCCAGCGCCTCGGGACGTCCTCCCGACGTGAAAGGCGCTCTATAAATGGAATCTTGTTGTTGTTGTTGTTGTAAATGGAATCTTGTTGGTCTGGTAAACTGAGGCATGTGTGCGTGTGCGTGTGCGTGTGTGGAGTAAGGAAACTTGCCTGAGGTTTCGCCCTGTCCGTCCGGGAGTCGAACCCGGGTCGTTTCGCTTGCGAGGACAGGGCTCCAACCACTGAGCTACAGGGCTCCATAACAGTGTTGTCACTGAGTCAGGGCTTCAGGGAAGGAGGTCAGTGTTTTTGCTCACTGCGCTAATACAGAGAGCACTTACCCTGTGCTGACAGCTTCTGTAAACCACATCCCATTTCCACGAGCAGACAGAGAACCACAAAGGCAAACTTCATGTTCTAGAGAGACACAGAGACATCAAGCCCTAAATACCAGAACCTCTCAAACCAGCCCTCCTCCCCCCTAAAAAAAGACTCTTAACCCACATCCCGTAACTACGGTCTACAGTCCATTCCCCCCCATCTCCGAGCACCTGATTAAAACGTTTGCATATGATACAGCGCCTTATCTCGTGGTCCAGACGTCTCAAAACGCTTCTCTGTAAAGTGGAGTGACTGTACGGTTCGAGAGGCAGCCAATTCGCATTCGGCAACTTCCCAGTAAACAGCCGTAAACCGAGCGAGCGAGTGAGCGAGCGGGCGGGCGATTCTGGGGGATTGTCGGGCAGGAACACCGGGAAAGAGAGAGAGAGAGAGAAACTCTAATATCTGATATCGGTAGTAGGTTTTAAAAGGGAATTGGATTTGTGCTTAAAAAGGAACAATGTGCGGGGCTATGGGGTGAGAGCTGGGGGAGCGGGGACGAGTTGGGGTGAGAGCTGGGGGAGCGGGGACGAGTTGGGGTGAGAGCTGGGGGAGCGGGGACGAGTTGGGGTGAGAGCTGGGGGAGCGGGGACGAGTTGGGGTGAGAGCTGGGGGAGCGGGGACGAGTTGCGTAGCTCTTTCGAAGAGCCAACACAGACACAATGGGCCGAATGACTTCCTTCTGCGCAGTCGAGACTATGATTTTATCGTCTGCACAATGGAACTCTGAGCTCTCGTTTCCCCTCTCCTCCCACGACACGTCGCGGCATCGCTCTCTCTCTCGCTCTCGCTCTCTCTCTCTCTCGCGCGCTCTCTTGCAAGTGGTAACCACTTGTGTGCAATGTCAAGGCCACCTGTTTCTCTCGAAAGCTGCAACCAGTTTCCCCACAAACAGCCATCAAGCAGAGTCTGCGAGCGAGCCAGCAGCCATTTTATCTGAGGTTGGGGGGGGTGGTGGGGTGGGGTGGGGGGGGGTTGTTGGCCGGGACACTGGGGGAGAGGAAGACAGAGAAACTAAGTCCCTTCTCTTCTCTTGAGAATCAATCAATCACACACTCACACACGTACACACGAAAATACATACATAACACACACACACAAACAATACACACGCACACGCACGTACATACACACAAACATACATACATACATACATATACACACAAGCACATACGCGCACACCCGTACATAAACACAAACTCCCACCGCCACCGCCGCCGTCGAGAAGCGCGTCGGGAGGTGACAAGGGTACGCACGAGGGTTTCGGCTGCATTTGGGGTCAGGTACGGTCGGAGGCGGGCAATGTGGCGGAGGTGGAAGACGGCGGTCCTGGGGGTGGGGGTGGGGGGTCGAACCCCATGCCCAGATTGCGCACTGGTTCGGTGAGTCAGAGGGGGAGCCCGGGGAGGTTGAGGAGTTCAGATCCGCAGGAGTGAAGACGTCGACGGGAGCCGAGGAGTATGGCTCCCGCCTTGTCCATGTTCGGCTGCAGGAAGTTTACGCTCGTCCAGGCCTTCTTGACGTCTGCCAGACGAAGCTGATAGGAGATCGGGGGGCGGGGGGGGGGGGGGGGACCCGGAGTTGGCGCTGGAGGAGGCCAAGTAGGTTTGTGTGTCATCTGCAAACGTGTGGAGAAACCACTTACCGAGATGAAATGGAGGCGGGTGGTTAACTAGGACTCGAGTGCGGTCCCACTAGGGTGGATCAAGGAGGAGAGGTGCAAAACACACACACACACACACCACACACACCACGCACACACCAACAGTCACGTACACACACACACACACACACACGCACAAACACACTCACACCAACAGCGACGTACACACACACACACACACAACACAAACAGCCACACGGACACGTACACACACACAAACACATGCACACAACACAAACAGCCACACGGACACGTACGCACACACAAACACACACATACACACGCACGCACGCATGCACCCAGTCACGTACAAAACTCACACGCTCAGATTTAACACGTCGAACCTCTCGGGCTCTCTGTCTCGTGCATCTGACACTTGCACTTATTCTTATCACCATGTCTGTTAATCTCTCACCATCTCTAAAGTCTGCTGCGCAGAGCGAGCGAGCGAGCGAGAGAGCGAGCGAGAGATTGACACCAGTACACGCGTCCGCGATGCCCAGACAGACCCAGCCAGCTCTGGCCTCCGATTTAAACCCGTGCGGAAAGTTCTAGGAGGCTCGAGACACGCTCCTGAGGCCTCTCACTGGAGAACAGGATGTTGAAGAAACTCTCTTCTCGTTGGGGTGGAGGGGAGACTGAGAAGATAACAGGTTCCCTTAGTTTGTTTCAGTTGATCTCCCAGGAGATCGTCCACGACACGGCTTAATAAACAACCCTCTGAATGACTCCGCCAATCGACTGACAACCGGGTTCCTACTTACCGCTGAGCAAACAAGAGGCGCGGAGTAAGGAAACTTGCCCAAGGTCTCGCCCAGCCCCGGCCGGCCGGGAATCGAACCCGGGTCCTCTCGCTCGCGAGGCGAGGGCGACAGGAGGACTTCAAGCACTCGCTCACCTGTCAGTCGCCAAACTGAGCAAACGGAACTCGGCTCTGGAAACATAATCGTTGAAGCCACTTCCTCCCCGGTGGTTGCTAACACCATCGTTTCCCTTCTTGCCCCCACTCTCGGCTCAAGTTGACATCGAGGTCAGCCTGACGCCTGCCTATCAGCCTGGCTCCGTCGGTAGCAAGTCTCGCCTCTCAGAATCTCACAGCGCAGAAGGAGGCCATTCGGCCCATCGAGTCTGAAAGCGCTACCGGGGTTAGTCCCCACTCCCCTGCGTTACCTCGAAACCCTTTGCAAGTCCCTAACCTAATTCTCTTTTGAAAGCTACTGTCAAATCCGCCTCCAACGTCCTTTCAGGGCCGTGGGTTCCAGTTCCTAACAACTTATTACGTTAAAGAAAATCTCCCCTCTGGTTCCTCTGGCAATTACCTTCAATGGTGACCTCTGGTTACCAACCCATCCGCCAGAGGAAAGAGTCTCTCCTTATTTACCGTCTCAAAACCCCTCATAACTCAGAAGAACTCTGTTCCAATCTCCCCTTAAGCTTCTCTGCTCCCCTTCAGCTCCTCTCGTCTCTCCACTCGCTCGAGCCAAAAGGTTGTGGGTTCAAGCCCCGAGTTGGGACTTGGAATCACATCGTCTAAGCTCATGCTCCAGTGCAATGTTGGGGGCGGGGTGGAGGGGGGTGTGGAGGAGGTTGCATTGTCGGAGTTGCCGTCCTTCGGGTGAGATGCAAACTGAGCTGCATCCGCCCACAACCCACCCACCACAACACCCCCACCCCCCCACCCCGTCTGTACCCTGTTCAGGTGGATGTTAAAGATCTCCCACGGGGTCCTTCTGAAAGAGAAGGGCATTTCCGTCTCATGGTGTCCTGGCTGGCAATCCCCCAAAGAAAATCGCTCAATCACATCATGGCTGTTCGTGGGTAGGTTGCTGTGAGCAAATTGGCCGTCCACACACGTACAGTCACTACACTTTACGTTGAATCCAGTGAAGCGCTTTTAAAAGTTACAGTCACTGGATCAGATGCAGCATTGTTAACGATAAAGAGGCAGAAGGTGAGAGAGTGTGAGTGTGTGAGTGTGAGAGTGAGTGGGTGAGTGTGTGAGAGTGAGTGGGTGGGTCTGAGAGCGAGTGAGTCAGATTGAGAGTGAGTGCGTGAGAGAGAGGATGTGGGTATGAATGAGTGCGAGTGTATGTGAGTGTGTGAGTGACAATGAGTGAGTGAGGGAGATTGAGAGTGAGTGAATGGGTGAGTGTGTGAGTGTGGGTGAGTGTGTGAGAGTGAGTGAGTGAATGTGTGAGAGTGAGTGAGTGAGTGAGTGCGTGTGCGTGTGAGTGAGGGTGTGAATGTGAGCTTGTGAGTGTGAGAGTGAGTGAGAGAATGCGTGAGAGTGAGTGTGTGAGTCAATGTGAGTCAGAGTGAGTGAGTAAGTTTTTGAGAGTGAGTGTGTGAGAGTGAGTGAGTGCGTTAGTGTGTGAGAGTGAATGTGAGGGTGTGAGAGTGAGTGAGTGTGTGAGAGTGAGTGAGTGAGTGAGTGAGTGAGTGAGTTACAGTCCCACAGTAAAGCCCCGGGAGCTCAGAGAGACGTTACTCACCGTTTCACCTCCGTTTCAAACTCTTCCCTTAAAACAGCTTCAACTCAACACAGGAAAGACGTCAGGTTCAGACACGTCAGACGCTAAAACCTCAGCTCAGCTTCAGAGAAGAAAGAGAGAGAGAGCGAGAAAGAGAAAGAGAAAAGAGAGGAGACGGAGGAGAGGACCAGAAGAACGAGAGAGAGAGAGAGAGAGAGAGAGAGAGACAGAAAGAAGATGAACGAGAGAGGGAAAAAGAAAGAGGAGGAATGAGAGAGGGAAAGCGAAAGAGCAGAAAGAGAGAGAGAGAGAGAGAGAGAGAGAGAGGGGAGAGGACGAGAAAGGAACGTGAGGGGAGAGAGAAAGAGAGAGAAAATACGAGAGAGAGAGAGAGAAAGAGGAGAGAGGAAAACGAAGGGGGGAGGAGGGGGAAAGAAAGAAAGTGAGAGAGAAAGAGAGAGAGAAAATGGGAGGGAGGGAGGGAGGGAGGGAGGGAGGGAAGGGGAACGATGAAGGGGAAAGATATTGGGATTTGAGGTTTAACGTTTTGAGAGCGTCGTTGACACAGTTTTAACTGGAAACACAGACTCTCTCTCTCTCTCTCTCTGTATCTGTCTGTCGTTCGCGCTCTCACCTCCGAGACAGGAGGTTGTGGGTTCGAGCCCCAAGTGGGGGGTCTTTGAGCTCACAGTCCAGGCGGACACTCCAGCGGAGCGTGGAGGAGGGGGAGAGAGGGAGAGAGGGGGAGAGAGAGAGAGAGAGAGAGAAGGAGAGAGGGAGAGAGAGGGAGAGAGAGAGAGAGAGAGAGAGGGAGAGAGAGAGCACTGCACTGTCGGGGGCACCGTCCGTCCTTCAACCGTCTGTGCCCGGTTCAGGCGGACGTTTAAAGATCTCCCGGTTTCTCGGGCTCTCCCCCTGACAATCGCTTCCCGACCGTATATGGGGCGACTGCACCGCCTGCCAAACACACAGTCACTACACCTTCCAGTTTCGATAACAACTTTCGAAAGGGAATCGGATTAGGTACCCGAAGAGGAAGCATCGGCGGGAATACGGGGAAAGAGCAGGTGGGGGGGTGGGGGGGGGGGGGCGGAGTGGGATGGATTGGAGGGCAGCGCTTCCGAAGAGCCGACCCAGGCGACGACGGGCCGAATGGCCTCCTTCTGTGCCGTAATGTCTTTGTGGCTCTGTGAGGTGTCGCGAGACGCGCGGCCGGAATGGTTCACGCGAAACCGAGGGGAAGAGGTGACAGAGACGCTAAGGGGAAGCCCCGGGTTTTTCTTCTGGTCCAGTCAGACCATTTCGCGCAACCGAACGTCGTCTCCGCGCTTCGGAGCAGACGGAGGTTCGGGTGACTCGCTGCGCGGCCGCCTCGCGGGGACGTCGCTGTGCGCAAACTCGGCCGTCCTGCGCTCGGCCCGCAGAATAGACAGTCACTCCGCTTTACAGTGGATCCCGCGATGAGGCGCTGAATCGAACGCGAGGATCATCGTTCACACATGATGAACAGCTGAGGATTTGGGGGCTGTAGTAGCACTGGTGTTGGCCACCAGGCGGCAGAGGCTCCTCACACATTGGTCCTGTGTCCCTTCAGCCCCACCAGCAGTTTGATTCCGCCTCTCGCCCTTATCCTCTTCGGGGGGTAAAGTGGGGGGGGGGGGGGGGTCTCCCCGGAGCTGAACCGGCTCCAAGCTGAACCCGCAACCTGGGAATCGAGCCAACCCTCTCTGTGGTGGTCTTCAGGCCCCGGTTCCTGAGCCAGGAGGGGCCGCGGTGTTCCAGGGCGCTCGCTCGCCGACGCCAAGGTCTGGGTCATCCATCGGGACAGGGGACAGGGAATCCTCCCCCTCAGCTCCCGTTTAACCCTACAAGCCAAAGCACTAACTAACCAACTAACCAACCAACCAACCAACCAGCCAACCAACTAACTAACGGGGAGGGTGGTCCTCGCTGGACAAGCAGCGGGAAAGCTTGGCCAGACAGCGCTCTCTCTCTCTCTCTCTCTCAATGGCCAAGCTAAGTGGTTTTAGCCGGTTAGACTCCCGCAGTTACCCCCTCCCACCCCCCACACCCCAACGCACACTCTTCTCGACCCCCATCGACGAAGTTGACAAGCTGTGGAGCCACCTTGGGGGGGGCGGGGGGGAGGGGGGGGGGGGCGGTGGAGGGGGAGTGGAGGGGGAGAGAGATGCAAACACTCACCCTTGGACTCTCCGTACTCTCGCTTTCATTTTACACCTTTTTATTTTATGCAAAAATAGACTCCAAAAAAAAAAGGCCCCTCCCCAACCTCCCCCGCCTCTTTCCCCCCACCCTCCCTCCCCCACCCCCATCCCCGTGTCTGCGGAGGCGGGGGGGAGGGGGGGAAATTCACCGTTTATACGCAAGAGGCCGTTACAATTCCTTCTCGCTTCCCCCTAGTGGATCCATCGCTCTTTAAGTTCTGTCCGTCTGTCCGAGAAGGGTAGAGAGATATGGACGAGAGGGAGGGAGGGAGGGATGGAGGGAGGGATGGAGGGAGGGAGAGAGGGATGGAGGGAGAGTGTGAGGTGGTTCTCTCTCTTCCTCTCTCTCTCTCTCTCTCTTCTCCACCACCAACCGTGTTTACCCCCTCCCTTCCCCACCCCCAAGAGGTCAACCCCAGGATCCATCCACAAGCCCCCCCCCCCAGCCACCCTTCCTAACCCCCACCACCACCCCCCCCCCATCCCCTCCGTTACGTGTGGGGGCGCGGGGGGTTGGGTGGGGGCAGGAGAAGATAGTGATGGGTGTCCTGTGTTCCGTGCAGATATCTCCGTCCGGCTCCCAAATAAAGCAGAGTCCAATGATTGTCAAATGGGGGGCGAGGGGGGTGTGGGAGGTTGATATCGCCCCCTCCTGTGCTCGCTCCTCCCCCCTCCCCCCCACCCCCCCCGCCACCCCCGTCCATCCGTCCGTCAATCCGTGAGAAGAGTCACTCCGGTCTTTCCCGGTTCTCCGTCATGGCGTCTGTCTCCTCTCCAGAGGGGGGGAAAAAGCCGGTGAGGCCGGACCGCGAGATCCCGGTGGGTGGGTTCGGGATTCGGGAACGTGCGCGGCTCGCTCGGTCCGGAGGGAAGCGTCAGGCTCCCGATCCCTCCGCTTACGGCGCGCTGGAGTCCGGCTCCGAATCCAACTCCGGGCTTTCCTCTTCCTTGGGAATAGTCTCGTCCGTGTCCAGCACGTCCGGGTTTTCCAGCATTTCCCGGATCAGAGGCGGCATGGGACCCGGAATCTCCATCTTAAGCGTTATGGCTCGCTCCGCACCTACGCAGACCAGTGGGGGGAGTGGGGGAGTGGGGGGGGGGGGGGGTGGGGATTAAAATCACCGCTTACCCCCCAACACCGCCCCCCCCATCCCACCCCCCGCCCCCACACTTCTCCATCCGCCTCCTCCCGCTCGGTTGTCTCCGACCTCCTGCCCGTCCCTCATTCCCTCCGCTTCACCGTCCTTGATCTTGTCTTCGGCCACTAACCCCTCACCCCCACTAACCCCCCCACCCCCGCCGCCCCGCCCCGCCCCGCCGCCTCGCTCTCCATCTCACCGCTCCCCCACCCCCACCCGACCACCACCCACCCCATTTTCCGTAGTCTTCGGAATGACATTAGTTGCTAATTTATCCCGACCTCAAGTGCCGTTGACCCCTCTCCCCTCCATCCCGAAAGGTCACTGACCTCTGGTAACCCCCCGTCCCCCAACCCCAACCCCAACCCCAACCCCCACCCCGGGGTCGCTGACCTTTGGCACTGATGCCGCGTAGATCCGTGATTTTCATCAGCATCCGCGGGAACATGTAGGGTTTGTCCGGCCGCCGGCGCCGGGCGTAAAGTTTCAGAGCCTCGAGCAGCGGCTCCTGGAGCTGATCCACCTTCTCCGGCTCCTCCAGGTCCATCCGGTCTGGGACACGCACAACAACAACAACAACAACAACAAATTACATTCGGATAAACGCCCTTCACATCAGGACACACACACACGCACGCACACGCGCCCGCGCGGAGACACAAACACACACGCACACGCGTGATACACACTCGACTGTTCGTGATATTCCCGACATTCCCAAACTGCCGTCGGCCATCCTGACGTTTCCCGACATTCCCGACTGTTCCCAAACCCTGGCCCGGACCTGGAGCTCCAACACCGTCCTGATATCTCACCGATTTCCAAGGGGTGGGGGTGGGGGGGGGGGGGGGGGCTGTTACCTCCGCAGATGAGGCAGATGGCACTGAGGAGGCCGGTCTCGGTGTCGTCCATCTCCAGGGGGAGCAGCCGGTCGGCGAAGGCGAAGACCAGGTCCGTGAGGGGTCCGAACCCCGCGTTGTGCATCTGCGTCCGGTTCAGCGTCAGTCCGTCCGAGAAGGTCATGGTGTCCTGGTCTGGTGTGTAGCGCGTACAGATCCGCAGCATCTGTAACCCCGAGAGGCAACGTCACCCCTGAGGGGGTGGGGGGGGGGGAGAGGGGGGGTGCGGATGGGTGGTGGGGGGGGGGGCGTAGTGGGAGGAGCTGAGGGTGAGCGGAGTGAGGATGGGCAGAGTGAGGGCAGGTGCTGAGGGTGGGAGGAACTGAGGGTGGGCGGGGCTGAGGGTGGGCGGTGCAGGGGGAGGAGCTGAGGATGGGAGGAGGGGCTGAGGATGGGAGGAGGGGCTGAGGATGGGAGGAGGGGCTGAGGGTGGGCTGGGTGAGGGAGGGGCAGGATCTTAGGATGGGCGCAACTGGGCGGGGGGGCTGGGGGTGAGGGTGGGAGTGGCTGAGGGTGGGTGGGGCTGAAGTGGGAGGGGCTGAGGGTGGGTGGGGCTGAAGTGGGAGGGGCTGGGGGTGGGCGGGGATCAATGGGGGTTGGGGAAGGACCTACCAGGATGTCCAGGCAGGCGGCTTTGAGTAGGGTTATCTGGTCAGCGATGGTCAGACCGGTGAAGCCGGGCAGACGTTTGGCAAACTCCACGATCTTGATGATGCATTTGGTGGAGAGTTCACTGAACTTATCCCACAATCCCAGGTCCAACTGCACCCGGTGATCAGCACTGGAATTCTGAGAGAGAGAGCGCGAGAGAGAGAAGGAGAGAGAGAGTGTGAGAGAGAGAGGAAGAGGGACAGATAGAGATAGAGAGAATGGGAGGGACAGCAAGAGAGAGAGAGAGAGGGATGGGGGGCGGAGAGAGCGGAAAGAGAAAGAGAGGAGAAAGCGGGAGAGAGTGGGAGCGAGATGATGAGAAGAGAGAGAGAGAGAGAGAGAACGTGCGAGAGAGAGAGAGAGAGAGCGTGAAAGAGAAAGAGAGTGGCGGCGGGGGGGGGGGGAGAGAGAAAGAACGTCGGAGAGAGAGAGAAAGAGAGAGATGGGGGAGAGAGATGGACGGGGAGAGACGGGAGGAGAGAGGGAGACGGATGGGGAAAAGACGGGGGTTGGGGAAGAAAGTGACTTGGGAGGAGAGCATGACAGAGAGAGAGAGAGCGAGAGAGAGCGAGGGGAGGAGAGGGGGGGGTGGGGGGGCAGTGCTGTGCGACACAGGCTCACCGTGGTGTACTTGCCGAGCTGGCACAGGGAGGGGAAGGTCTCCTGATGAGCGCGGCACACTTTCTGGATCAGATCCTCGGTCTCGGCGGCCACCGGGAGGCTCTCGGCCGCCTCCTCCTTCAGCTCCTTCTTCTTGTTCCGGTCGTTCCTGACGGCTGTCGGAGTGGGAACGCCGGAGCGTCAGCCAACCCGCCCGGACACGGACCCCCAGGGAACCTCGCCTTCCAAGCCCCCCCCCGTGGTCTTGCTGCTCCACTACCTCCGCCACCTCCTTAACCCCCCGCACCTCCCCCCACCCAACCCGGTCCACCCCCAAATGAAGGTTGTAAACTACTCTGTTTTTCTTTACACACAGTTGTTCCTGGATAAAGCGGATTCGTGCCTGATATCGGTGGACTCCAACAGAAGCGACTACTTGTTGCTGAGGATGACCTGCCTGGCCCTGCGTAGCCAGCTCCTGTGTGCCACACAGCAGGTAAATATACAGGCCTCTTTCGCCCAAAGAGGGAGACCTGCCTCTAATCACCAGACCAATGCTCATTGTGCTCTAACCAATACGCTCTAGGCTTGGAAGAACCAGGTAATAATAATAATTTAGTCACTCATTCCACAACTGTTTGTGCGCAATTGGCTGCACCATTTCGCCCACAAAAATATGTGGTCAATTCACTTTACAGTATATTCTGTGAAGCGCTTTGAGGTGTCTCGAAGAAGTGATGAGGCACAATATCAAATGCAAGTATTATTATTACTAACTTTGGATCTAAGGTTCCCAAAGCTTTCCACACTGTTGTAGACTAATCCAGACCAAATTCATTGCTATTAAACATCTCTGTTATTGTAGCAAGCGACTACCAGGATGGTAGAAGGCAAACTGGATGGACCTGGTTTTTTTTCATGCAGCAGTTCCTATGTTCCTATTCCAGCAACTAAATACAGATCTCTTCCCCTCTCTACTATCAAAGTGCTCAACAACGACAAATTACATTTACACAGCACCTTCCACATCGGGAGGATGTCCCAAGGCACTGGACAGTCAAGAAATTGCACCCAATTTGGAGGGTTGAGATCAGGGGCAGGGAGGGCTGACTGAATGAGTGGTTGAAGAAGGTCTTGAGATGAGCCTTGAAAGAGGGAAGGGAGGGGGTGAGGCGAAGATCACTCTTACTTACTGTCTGACCAGTCTCCTGTCGCTGTTTGATTCTAGGTTCCCGAGGGTCTGGCTCTTCTGCTTGAGGTTCTGCAATGCCCCTCACTCCAAAAATCTTCCAAGGTCTGGTACCTGCTGAAAGCCAATGTCCTGCAGCTTGTGGCCTCATACATGAGCCTACCTCGTGGCATCCTGCCAGCCCAGCTCAGGCAGAAGCTATACAGCCATGGTGGGTAATGGAGCCCAGGGGTGGGGGTGGGAGAGGGAGGGTCTGTAGGCCAGGTTCTGACCTCAGCGTGTTTGTTGGCAGGCTGGAGGTCCCCTGAGGCCGCGCTGACCAACAGTCACAAGCTGCTGTGTGGGGTGATGGTGCTGCTGCACTCCGGGCTGCTGTCCTTCAGGAAGAGCGACACTGAACCGGCTGTGTTCGTGGAGAAAGGTTTGTACTTGCGGTGTGTGGTGAGTTCCCATAACCGAGGAGGCGTATCCACGTCAGCGCTGAGGGACCGCTGGGGAGGCTCTTGGCAGACTGGCCGGCCTTTGGCTAACGTGTTAAACCTGAGCTCCCATCAAGCAGATGCTGAAGATCTTGCTGATCATTACTATTTGAGGGATGTTTGTGCTGAATAGATGGGAAATGGCATTAAGAGATCTGCCGCGATCAATCTCATGCGGCTGTCGTGTGGACAACCAGGGGCAGTAGCGTCCAATACACAGCAATAAGATCAATCAGTCTGTTACTCGAGTCCTTGGTCGTGGCTGTGTCATGGCGCCAACAACAACTTGCATTTATATAGTGCACTTCACACGGGATCTCTGAAAGGGTAGTGGAAGCCGATTCAATAACTTCTTTTAAGAGAGAAGTAGATGGGTGTTTGGGGAGGACAGGGTCGCAGGGCTATGGAGAGAAAGCGGGCCGGTGGGATTGAGTTGGATTGCTCTTTTAGGAGCCGGCGCAGACACGATGGGCCAAATAGCCTCTTTCTGTGCTGTATGATTCCACAGTGTCATCAGTCAAACGGCACCTCCAACAAACACTGCTTGTGCCTTCTCTGACTATACAGTCGATTCACTTTACAGTGTATTCTGTGAAGCGCTTTGAGATGGCTCGAAGATGTGATAACGAGCTGCATTAAGTATATAATATCAAGGATGATTACTATTATTACCTGCTGACTGATCCTCGTTTCTTGCTGTTCAGGGGAGAGTTTGCTGCAGAAGTGGCTGGTGCTCGACGACCTGCAGACCTGCTCCAAGAGGCTGGTGCAGCTTCTGGGAAACATGGGCAGCGTGCAGGAAGCCAAGATGTTCTGCCTCGAGGGCCTCAAACTCTCCTCCAAACTGCACTGCGTCCGCAGGTAAGCTGTTGACCCCCACCTCCGCAGGACAGAGCGTTCCCAGTGTCCAGGCCGGGATTCTGTCCCTGGTTAACTAACTAACTAACCCCGTGTCCCATTTTTTTCAGGTGTGTGGACTTTCTAGTCAGCAAAGCCGAGCTGGAGTTGCAGAAGAGCGAGGCTGAGTCCTGTGACTTGGACCTGGAGCAGGCACTGTTCCTCCTGGAGTCCTGCATCGGTTAGTGAAAATCCAGTGTGGAGGGGGCAGCGATCTGTAAAACTCCTTCAGATTTGGCCAGCTGGGGTAGGGGGGTGGTGAGAGATATCGAGATAAGAAATCTCGAAGCGCTACCCCGCGTGAAGGGCGCGATATGAATGTAAGTTGTTACACTTTCAAGACTTACTTCCTCTTTGAGGGACTGCGCTTTTGGTCATCTTTTCCTTGCCCTTTTCTCCCGCCCACGCCGGGCCCCCAGCTCAACCAGCTTTGTCAAGCGCTTTGAGACAATAGTAATAATAGTCCTTGCGTTTGATATAGCGCCTATTGTGTAGTTGAGACGTCTCAAAGCGCTTCACGGGAATGTGCTGCAAAGTAGATCTACTGTGTGTTTTGCGAGTGGACTAATGTCCTGACTCGAGAGGTGCTGTGTGTAAACATGCCTCGTATTTTTGTCACAGATTTCAGCTGCAGCGATAAAGTGAAGAGCCGAGGAAAAATCCAGCCAAAGAAACAGCGAGAAGCCAAGAGGGGCCGCAAGGTGTCCGAGGAGGGTGGGAAGGCGGAGGACCAGGACTTCCTGAGAGTCCAGCCGCTCTCGTACGTGAAGACGGTTAGTGGCTGCAGCCAGGCGGCCCTGACCGCCTCTCCCATCCTCAAGTCCAAGCTGACACAGCAGCCTCCGTCCTTCATGACCCACGGCCCGAGCTGCCCCTGCCTGCTCTGCTGTGACGTGATGCTGTCGGCGGCCGGGGCCCGCTGGGTGTTGGTGTTCTGCGAGCTGGTGGCGGGCAGAGGAAGGAGCCGGGAGAGTCGGTGCCTCCTGGAGAAGCTGAGGGAGAGGTGCAAGCGCCAGAGGCTGCAGTTATCACAGAGTGTCCAGCATCTGATAACGGAGTCCGACGTGGAAGCCAAGGACCGTGACTCCAGCCCGGCCACAGTCGCTGTTCTGGATGGACCGATAGCCCGGGCCCACTTGCAGCTGTCCTCACTCAGCCTGGGATCCCATCTGCACGCTCACACCTGGAAAATCCTGGAAGAAGGCTTGGAATTCCTTACCCTCGAGCTTCCGGACACCTGGGACCTGGAGCCAGTGCGAGCCGGGCTGCTCTTGCACAAGGCGCTGTCGCTGGTCTACTCGCTCGCCTCAGAGCGCCATTGCGAGTTGCCGGCGGTTTTCCAAGCCGCCTGGGTGCGGGGGCCGCGAGGTGGGGGCAACCGCAAGACCACCACTGGCTCCGTGCTGAGTAAAACCAGGGACAGGTTCCGGAGCGCAGGCCGGCCTCGGTTGGGGAGCGAGAGAATAGTGACTAAAGCAACCGTTTCCAGTAAAGCGAAGGGACGGACCGGGAAAGCGAGCTCAGCCAAACAGAACGAGGTTGATAAAGACGCAGTGTTGGATCTAGACGAAGGGACGAACGCCAAGGCCAAAGCTTCGATGAACTTCCCGTCCACGCCAGCCCCCGTTAAGGGTAAATCCCACGCCCCCAGAGGCGCGGGATTTGCACCCCAGAGGCGCAAGGTTTTGTTTGAGATTTTTGAAGATTGTTCCTCTTCCCCCGAGTGGAAGCCCAGCGTCCCTCCCGTCAACGTCCTCAGGAGAACTCGGTCCCGGCTGAAGAAGGTGTTCGACGACAGTGACGTGGAGGAGCCGGCAGAGGAGCTGCCCAAGGCTGACGTGCTGGGCACCGAGGGCGGGGAAACGGGGAACCCTACCGGCAAGCGTCAGGGCCGCGGAGAGCGAGCCAGGCGTACAACCGCCAAACCTCGCCCCCTGCAGCAGCAGCAGCTCAGCCCCGTGCAGAAGAAGAGCAGCGACCGGGGGAAAGGGCAACGAGGGGCCAGGCGAGCAGTCACCGAGCCGGAGAAGCGAGAGAGAGGAGCAAGGAAGGCCCTCCATCAGCCTGAAGGCCTCGAGCTCAGCAAGACAGCCCAACCTGGAGGTGAGGAGAGTCTGGGTGCAAGCCCTGAGGCGCAGTATTACTCTCAACTCTAAAGGGTCCGGGCACATGCCCCAAGCCGATGATGGGCAGTGTTGCTTTATAATAAGATTCCTGGCGTTTGATATAGCGCCTTATCACGTCTTCGAGACGTCTCATAGCGCTTGTACAGAATTTACTGTAAAGTGAATTGACTTTTTATTTGTTGGTGCAACGTGACAGCCAATTGCGCGCAGCAGTGTCCCACAAACCATCGTGGATTGAGTGACCCCATTTTTTTTGGAAGGGTTTATTACCCCGATCCGCCAATCGACTAACAACTGGGTTCCTACTTACTGTTGTGTGGAGTAAGGGAAACTTGCCCAATGTTTTGCTCTGTCCAGGAATCGAACCACTGAGCTACAGGGCTCCTTTATGTGGAGAAGAGGAGTCTTCTTGTCTTCTCTTTACTCTGGATGTTTGAGCTGTGTGCAGCGGCTGTGTTGAGACTGACCTGAGCGAAGGCGACCGTCTGTAACCGTTTTCCCTTTCTATCCTCCTTTCCCTTTCTCGTTCGGTGCAGTTGACGTACCGAACGACGTCAGTGAGTGTGAGCAGCTGAGACAGGACTCTTCCTCCTCGATGAACCCCGAGAGCCAGATCCCCGCTTCTCACAGGAGAGCAGACGGCTGTGGCTTGAGCCTGCCCCAGATCCAGGCCCCTGTGACCTCCACAGGTGAGTCTCCACCACGACAACTTGCATTTACATAGCGTCCCTCAAACAGGGCAGCGCTTCAAAACCCTCAGCAGTGGCAGAACCCGGCGCCGATCCAGGGGGTAGGGGGAGGTGACCGTAAGCGCGGTCGAAGAGGTGGTGGGATGTGGAGGAGGCCAGGGGCAGTCAAGTGAAAGTAGTGGGTTGGGGAGTAAGTAGGTAGGGAGGTGCCAAGGTCTGAAGTGACTTAAAGACTAGTGTGAGGATCTTGACGAGGCTAGTACTCCTGCTCTGGGGGAAACCCAACTAGGCTCAGTCCAGAGACCGATAAGATGATGGGGCGAGGACTTTGTGAACCCTTATTCCTTTATTCTACTTCTTTCTCATCCCCTGCCCCCCATTCCACCCTTCTCTCTCTCTCTCTAACCTTTTCTCTCTGAATATTCTGAGTCTCACACTCCTTGACCCTTTTCTCGACAGATGTTGGTGACCTGGATGCTGTGTACAGCTGTTTGAGCCAGGCGTGTGACTGCATCAGCCACTGCCCGCCCAGCGCCCTGTACTCCACCATCTGCCAGCTGATGGCTCTGTGCCGGGGGCTACGGGACCCTTACACCACGGCCTATCTGCTCAGCGAGTCCGTGGCAATCACCGCCCGCCACCAAATGATCAGCAACATCCACAACAAGCTTCAGTAAGACCCGTTACTTAAGACCTGTAGCATGATGTTAGTCACCTCTCAGTCTCTGTCAGGAGGTTATCGGTTCAAGCTCCACGTCCAGACTTAACTGATAGTCCAGACCGACTCCAGTGTAGTACGATGGGGGGATTTGCTGTCTTGTCAGAGAGCTGCCTTCCTCGGGATAAGATGTTAAATTGAGATTGTGGGGTCCTGTAGTGTATTAAAGCAGCGAGTTACTTCGCTCACCTCGCAAACGAGAGGATCTGGGTTCAATTCCTGGGCGGGCAGGACCGGGAGAAACCCTGGGCAAGTTTCCTTACTCCCCAGCAAGCCTGTTCACCTAGCGGTAATCGGGAACCCGGTTGTTAAGTCGATTGTCGGATCACGTTCTGGGGGGAAATAATCTCTCGTATACATAAAAAAAATGGTCACTCAATCCATGACTGGTTTGTGGGACACTACTGTACACTTTTGGCCCACAACATACACAAGTCAATTCACTTTACAGTGTATTCTGTGAAACGCTTTGAGACGTATTAACGATGTGATAAAGCACCGTATCAAATGCAAGCATTATTAATCATTACATCACTCATACCTCTCTTTCCCCCCCTCTGCCTCTCTCTCTCTCTCTCTCTCTCTCTCAGGAGAGGTAAGAAGGAGCGAGCGCTGGGCGTGGTGGAGCGCCTGCAGGGACTGAACCTACATGAGAGCGGGGAGGATGGTCTCGCTCGCTATCTGGCCGAGCTGCACTCCCTGTTCCAGTTCAGCCCCGCGGAGCCGACACGCTGGCTGGAGGAGCAAGTCGCCAGCTTCAAGGAGCAACTGCAGAACATTCCAGAAGGTTAGGGATCCGATATCTGTATGATCACAAAGTAACTGATTTGGGGTGTGTGTGTGTGTATTGACTGAATTGTACTGATTGACTGTGTGTGTGTATATTGTATGTGTATATTGTGTGTGTGTGTGTGTGTGTGTGTGTATTGACTGTGTGGGTATTGCCTGACCCTGTTCTGTGTGTGTAGGTGTTACAGTCTGTATGCTGTCACTGGTCAGTGTCCAGCCGGGGGGGGCGGGGGACCTGCTGCTTCTGACACGGCTCGAGAGGAACCGGACTCCGGTCACCGTGTGGATCCCTTCAGCGGGCGGAACGGTGAGTGAGTGAGGGTGGGTGGGGCGGGGGGTGGGTGGGTGTGTGGACTGTGAGCATCGGTTGACACGGCAAAACTCAACCACCTTCCTAATAACAGCTGTGAAAATCTTAGTTTTAAAGCCGGTGAATCTCCATGTAACATGTTTGTGCCTTAACTGGCCACTAGTTACACGGCCGGCGTGTGAGGGTAGTTACGTGTGCCTGGCGTGTACACGGTGTGTGTGCTGTGCGTTGCAGGGCTCGCTGCTTAGAGAATTCGACGCCATCCTGAAGGACCAGAAAGAGGTCAGTGACCTGACGGAGCTGAAGGCCTGGTGGGAGGGACGGACAGAGCTGGACCGCAGGATGAAGGTACAGTGACCGGTGCTGTGGTGGGGGGAGGGAGGGGAGAGGCTTGGTGGAGTCCTGTAGCTCATTGGTTAGATCACTCGCCCTCACGAGCAAGAGGACTGGATTTGATTCCCAGCGAAACGTTGGGCAAGTTTTCTTACTCCACACACACGCCTCTTGTTTACCAGCAGTGAGTAGGAACCCAGTTAAGTCGATTGCCGGATCGCTTTTCCGGGGCTAATCATCTCCCCAAAATTTTTACAACATAATAATAATGTAATCACTCAATCCACGACTGTTTGTGGGGACGCTGCTGTGCACAATTGGCTGCTGCGTTTCGCCCACAAAATATACAGTCACTACACTTTCCCGTATATCCTGCGAAACGCTTTATGAGACGTCTCGAAGACGTGGTAAGGCGCTGCGTCAAATACAGGGATTACAATTTTTGCTGTTATTGCGGACTGACTGCTCATGGCCTCGGCAGACCCTGGTGGAGCTGATGGAGACAGACGGGCTGGGCTGCTGGAAGGGGCTTCTCCTCCCCTCGAGCAGGGACCCTGGCGTGGGGCTGGAGGCTGCCCAGCTGGGGACCCTCCTGGAAGAATGTGGCTGCAGGAACGTGGATGTGGAGCTGCTGAAGGTGTGTGTCTGGGGCGGGGAGGGGACTAGCACAAGCCGGCGTGGCTGTGGGGTAGGTGAGCGGCTGTGTAGGGGTCGGGCTGGAGGAAAAGGGCGGGATCTTCAAGCAGCACCTGCGAAATATTCCAGAAGGTTAGGGCTCGGATATCTGGCTGGTTACAAGGTGACTGCTGTGTGTGTGTGTGTGTGTGTGTGTGTGTGACAGCTCATACCGTTTTTCTTAGCTGGTTAGACTCCAGCAGTCACCATTGTGCACTCTGGGGTTCCCCCCAAGCCTCGGCTCTCGCAACTGCGCCCAACGTTTCCTGGCGTTAGGCAAACAGGGGGCGTCCCTCCGTGGAGAGGAGGAGAGAGAGAGAGAGAGCATATCCCATTCCAACAACCTATCTCTGGGATTTCCATGTTCAGGTGGGAATTCTCAGTTGAGACTCTATGTATGGTGATGTCAGACATTTTTAAAAATGTCTCTCAGTGTGTGTTTTAACTGTAGTGACTGACTGTGTATTTGGGGTGGGCAGGGGTCTGGGATGAGTGGGTCGGGTTGGGGGGTGAGCAGGTGAGGTTGGAGGCCAGGCAGTGGCAGTGATTTCTGGCCGCCTGTTTTGCAGGCAGTGTTGGGAACCTCCCACGTGCTGACCCCAGAGGACACAGATTCTCTGACGGAGGCTCTCTGCGGCGACGGGCTTGAGGAGGTGGGGATCCACCTACAGGAGGCGATGGAGAGGCTGAGGGAGACGAGCGCTCAGCCCAGCGACCCCAACTCCCAGCTGGTACTCATCCTGGATAAGGTAAGGTGTGGGCGAGACCGTCTTCCCCAATCCCACAGAGCTTAACCCCAGGCCAGAGTGGGAGAGGGGTCACGAGATGGCTGTGGTAGGGTATTTGGACGTGGAATGCCTCACCCATGAACACTCAGTGAAGCCTAACCTGTCGTCGCTTTTGAAAGGGAATTGAGCAAATGGCTTATAGGGCGGGCGGCGGGGAGGAGGAGGGTATTGAATGGTGAGGTGGTAAGATCTTACGATGGGCCGAATGGCCTCGTGTGATCTAACCCTCTCGCTGGGTGTGAATGAGAGACTGACGTTGGAGGAATCCTGTAGCTCCGGGGTTAGAGCTCTCGCCTCGCAAGCGAGAAGACCCGGGTTCAATTTCCGACAGGGCAAAATGTGGGCAGATTTTGTTGCTCCACACGCCTCTGTTTACCCAGCAGTAAATAGGAACCCGGGTGTTCGCTGATTGGCGGATCGCTTCTCTGGAGGTGATAAACCCGTCACCAAAAAATTAGTCATTCATTCCACAGCTGCTTGTGGGGACGCTGCTGTGCGCACACTGGCTGCCGTGTTTCGCCCACAATATATATAGTCAATTCACGCAGCGCTTTGAGACGTCCCGGAGACGTGATAAGGCGCTGTATCAAGTGCAAGGATTATTATTATATAATGTGTTTGCAGAACCTGCAGAGGCTGCCCTGGGAGAGTGTGCCCGTCCTGCGAACTCGGGCCGTGACCCGTGTCCCATCTCTGCCCTTCCTCCTGAGCTACGTGGTAACCAAGCAGGTGAGTGTGGTGGAGGGTGTGGGGGTGGTGGGGAGGAGAGACTGTCTGTCTCTTGTTGTTTCCTTACGCAGTTCAGATGCTATGGACTTGTGTAAAGTTCAGACCCTTCCTTTCTGATCCATTGGCTGAAACACTAGTTATTAACACACCGTCTGTAACGTCACTAACCTCTGTAACCCTAACCTGATGTCAAAAAGCCCTCGCTTAGCAGTGAGTAGGAACCCTGCTGTTGTTTCATTGGCGGATGCTTTCCAGAGGTAATATTCCCTCAAGAAAAAAAAAAAAATTTGGTCATTGGGCGATGTATCCTTGTGAAGCGCAGTGACTGTCTGTTTCGTGAGTGAAAGCAGTCAATTGCGCTTTGAGACTTCTCGACTTGTGATCAGGCGCTGTATCGAATGCGGGGATCGTTACTGCTATAATGGCAGAGAATTTTAATTCCCGCGTGTCTCTGTGTGGGGGCGGGGGGTGGGGAGAGAGAAGTGGGGCAGAGGTGTGTGTGTGGGAGGGGGTGTTAGTCTCTGTATGTCTGTCGCACGACTCTCCGTTGCTTTATCTTTCCGTTTCCTGCAGCACGGGGTGAGCTCGCTGATAACGGAGGGGGTGGACCCAACCAGGGTCTTCTACGTGTTGAACCCTCAGGGGAACCTGCCCAACACTGAGAAAACCTTCAAGGACTGGTTTCAAAGGTTCGTGCGTCACCCAAACCTGTCGGGGTTCGGGGCGGCAGCCCTGCGCAGGGTGCCTCACTCTCGCCCCAGCCTGCCCCCTCACTGCGACCCAAACGGCTTCCTTTGTCGCTCCGCCACTCGGCCTCGGTTTCTAAGCGTTGAATGATTTCAGCCGCGCGGCGATTCTCCAACCGGTGGATGGGCGCAGAGGCTAAAACTCACCCGCGCTCCAGGGAGTCACCCCTCGTGTGTGTGTGTGTTTTTATTTTCTCTTCCCTCTCATTCTCTGTGTGTCTTTCTGTGTGTGGGTGTGTCTTTCTCTCTCAGTCTGTGTGTGTGTGTGTGTGTCTTTTTCTCCCTCTCTTTCTGTGCGTCTCCCCCTCTCCGCCTTTCTTTTCCTTCTCTCCTTCTGTCCCTCGCCAGCTGAAAGCGCCCGCTGCCCGCCTGCTGTACGTAACGGTTTCTTTGTGGCCAACAGGAAGGCGGGCTGGGAGGGTGTGATCAGGACGAAACCCAGCGAGGACCAGCTGCGATCAGCCCTGTGTGACCGAGACCTTTACGTGTAAGTGGCCGTGCGGTGACTGGGGCGGGAGGCAACGTAAGAGCAGGAGGAGGCCATTTCAACCCCTCTGTTAGATCATGGCTGATGTGTACCTCAACACCAATTGCCCGCCTTTGCTCCCGTATCGATTGATCCCCTGACTTTAACAGAAATCTATCCACCTCAGTGTTTATATATTTTTTTAAGGAAAATGTGAATGGATCCCGGCCATAATCCACAGCCTTTTGGGTGGGGAGGAGGGAGAGATTTTCAGAATTCCACTAACCTTTGTATGAAAAGGTGGGGGAGTAGCCGGTGGTGGTTCCTATTCGACCTTCTCATCGCCCTCCCCGCCACCGCCGAGCGCTCCTG